TGGAATCAGGTTCCATGGAGGAGTAATCCTTCCCTGTGGACTGGTTCCATCTGCCGTGTGCACATTGTCATGATCGGATAAACGGAAAAAGTTCATTCGACTTAATGATAGATTGTATTTGTTGACAAGGTCATTGTATCGACCATAAAACTTGCGAAATGATGACTTTAAACGAGACTATTGATATCCTTGATTCATCAACTTGTTTGTCAAAAGCTTGCCTCGTTTTGGAAATTTTTCGTACGTAGAGCATGCCTTGCATATCGAACAAGCTGAAAGATATAAATCCCATATGCAGGCGATAAGTGGTTAAAAAACTGCTTCATTTCCCTAATACATGTAATTTTCTGAGCGAGGTGCTTTTAACCATACAATCCAGGCACATAGGAAGCAATTTTACTTTTTTCGGGGGGGGGGGTCCGGCGCAGCTGTAAATTAGATGTATTAATATACATGTATGCAAAATACCATCCCATCCCACGGTTTTGGGTTTTTTTTTCCGAGCTTGTAACTGATGTTTTTTGTACATAATTTTTAATCATAATTTTTAATGTTTAACATCAAGAACTTAATTCATTAATTCGATTTTCTTTGTAAACATGTCTACGTAGTAGTGGATTTGTACCAATTAGAGTACAATGACCAGGTTTACACGTTTCGTTACTTAAGTGTCTGTATCCTGTGACTATGAATAGAGTTACTGTGACATCGACTCTGATACTTGAGTATTATGGTGTGAAAACGGATTCATTTATTGTTAATGTACCTCAAACTTTCTTCGATGTACATGATTAGCATGACATTATTAATTATTTTTTTTTTAAACTGTGCATGTTTATGAAATATATATAAACATTATCTAAATAACAAGGTATTTGAGTCCAGGTGAAATAAAACAGATAACTCTTTTTGATTGAAGTCGCCCGAGTGGCGCAGTGGTAATGAGCGTTTGCTCTAGAACTGCTGAGTAAGTAGATGATCCTTACGTCGAGGGTTCGAATCCCATAGCGGAAAGTGGAGACGGGTCCTTCAGATGAGACCCTAAACCGAGGTTCTGTGTCCCAGTAGGTGACAAAAAAATCTCTCATCGCTTAAAGGACGTAATTTGCGAGCTCTAAATTTGAAACTTCCACCGGCAAGTGGTGATGTCTCAAAATGAGTGAAAAATTCTGGTAGGGATGTTTAACAAATAGAGGAACAAAAATCTCTGATTGGTTCTTTCCATCCAGAATTTGTGTGATGTTAAAATGTTTTTGGAAGTTCTCACAACTTCAATAAATTTCTTTTTTCATGATTTTAACCATAGAAAGTCACTTTTACGTTCAGATTTTGAAAGGAATCTACCCAGCATTTTTATGAAAATACTGTTTTTTTAGGTCACCTGAGTCACTCAGGTGACCTATTGCTATCCGTTTTTGTCCGTCGGCGTGCGTCGTGCGACGTGCGTCGTGCGTTAACATTTGAACATTTTTAGCTTCTTCTCTGAAACCGCTCAACCAATTTCAACTAAATTTGGCATATAGCATCTATGGGTGAAGGGGAACAAAAATTGTGAATTTCATGGTCCCTGCCCCCCTGGGGCCTGAGAGGTGGGGCTAAAACCACCAAAATTAATGCAATCTTTAAAAATCTTCTTCTTTACTCCTGGACATCAAGCAGTCAAACTGTTGGCATCATTGTGATAAGCATTGAGTCCTCTACCAAAATTGTGAAATTCATGGCCCCAGGGTCAGGGGTTCTGGTGCTAGGGCGGGGCTATATAGATCATATAGTGAAAGTGCATTATTTCTTTGAAAATCTTCTTCTCTGCTCCTGGGTATTAAATAAACTAACTAAGTATATAGTTATGATGAGTAAGAGTGACTCTTCCAAAATTGTGAAATTCATGGCCCCAGGGGCAGGGGTTCTGGTGTTAGGGTGGGGCTCTATTGATTATATAGTGAAAATGCATTAGTTCTTTGGAAATCTTCTTCTCTGCTCCTGGGTATTAAATAAACTAACTAAGTATATAGTAATGATGAGTAAGAGTACCTCTACCAAAATTGTGAAATTCATGGCCCCAGGGGCAGGGGTTCTGGTGTTAGGGTGGGGCTCTATTGATCATATAGTGAAAATGCATTAATTCATTGAAAATCTTCTTCTCTGCTCCTGGGTATTAAATAAACTAACTAAGTATATAGTTATAATGAGTAAGAGTGCCTCTTTCGAAATTGTGAAATTCATGACCCCAGGGTCAGGGGTTCTGGTGTTAGGGCGGGGCTCTATTGATTATATAGTGAAAATGCATTAATTCATTGAAAATCTTCTTCTCTACTCCTGGGTATTAAATAAACTAACTAAGTACATAGTTAGGATGAGCAAGAGTGCCTCTTCCAAAATTGTGAAATTCATGGCCCCTGGGTCAGGGGTTCTGGTGTTAGGGCGGGGCTCTATTGATTATATAGTGACAATGCATTAATCCTTTGAAAATCTTCTTCTCTGCTCCTGGGTATTAAATTCAGTAACTAAGTACATAGTTATGATGAGCAAGAGTGCCTCTTTCAAAATTGTGAATTTTATGGCCCCTGGGTCAGGGGTTCTGGTGTTAGGGTGGGGCTCTATTGATTATATAGTGAAAATTCATTAATCCTTTGAAAATCTTCTTCTCTACTCCTGGGTATTATTGAAACATATTAAATACATAGTTATGATAATCAAGGATGCCTCTTTCAAAATTGTGAAATTCATGGCCCCAGGGTCAGGAGTTCTGGTGCTAGGGCGGGGCTGTATAGGTCATATAGTGAAAGTGCATTATTTCTTTGAAAATCTTCTTCTCTACTCCTGGGTATCATTTAAACAAATTGAATACATAGTTATGATAAGCAAGAGTGACTCTACCAAAATTGTGAAATTCATAGCCCCAGGGGCAGGGGTTCTGGTGTTAGGGCAGGGCTATATAAATCATATAGTGAAAGTGCATTATTTCTTTGAAAATCTTCTTCTCTACTCCTGGGTATTATTGAAACAAATTGAATACATAGTTATGATAAGCAAGGGTGACTCTACCAAAATTGTGAAATTCATGGCCCCAGGGTCAAGAGTTCTGGTGCTAGGGCTGGGCTATATAAATCATATAGTGAAAATGCATTAATGCTTTAAAAATCTTCTCTACTCCTGGGTATTATTTAAACAAATTAAATACATAGTTATGATAAGCAAGGATGCCTCTTCCAAAATTGTGAATTTCATGGACCCTGGATCAGGGGTTCTGGTGTTAGGGTGGGGCTCTATTTATTATATAGTGAAAATGCATTAATGCTTTAAAAATCTTCTCTACTCCTGGGATTCATTTAAACAAATTAAGTACATTGTTATGATAAGCAAGGATGCTTCTTCCAAATTATGAAATTCATGGCCCCAGGTACAGGGGTTCTGGTGCTAGGGCGGGGCCATATATATCCTATAGTGAAGGTGAATTATTTCTTTAAAAATCTTCTTCTCTGCGCCTGGGTATTATTTAAATAAACTATTAGTACATTGTTATGATACGCAAGTATGCCCCTTCCAAAATTGGGAATTTCATGGCCAGAGGGTCAAGGGTTCTGGTGAAAAGGGGGGGGAGGGGGAGGGGCTCTATTGATTATATAGTGAAAAAGCAAAATTTCTCTAAAAATATTCTTTTCTGCTTCTGGTTAAAAAGCAAAGAAGCTAAGTGTATAGTTATGATGAGCATGATTACTTCTTCCAGAGTAGTGAATTGCATGACCCCTGGGTCAGATGTGCTGGTGTAAGGGTGGGGCTCTTGATAATGTAGTGAAAATGCATTAATTCTGTTAAATAATCCTGTCTGCTCCTTAGTGTTAATCAGATAAACAAAGTGATTACTTACATGTATGATGAATAAACTTCTGGTCCCAGGGTGAGAGACTCTGATGTTTCTCGGTGGGGATGGGAGGTTGGGGGGGGGGGGCTGGGGGGCTCTATTGATAATGTAGTGAATCTGTAGTAAAAACTGCATTATTTCTTTGAAAATCTTCTCTGCACCTGGGCATATCAGAGGCAAAAAGAGTAAAAGTTTTAATAAATATTTTTGAACATCTGGGCCATTTTGTCAAGTGTTCTGGTCCTGGCCAGGGCTCTATTAATTTGTATTCTACTGAGGGGAGTTATTCCCCTGTGTCATTTACTTTTGATAATTAGTCACTGTAAATAATGTACTTGAAAGGTTAATAGAATAAGAGAATTTTGCAAGATTTTTTATTGTATAATACAAAAAGTACTTTCATAGTTTTAATGATCAGATAGACTTGTAAGTAATAGATAAATAAAAATGAGACAAAAATAACTTGTCTTATTCAATGTTCATCAAAGACCAAGAGAGTCCAATGTAAGAGATTTCAACAAGGAATTAAAATAGTACAGAAGCATTGATAGTTTGTTAATATACTGTATGGTGATAGTGATAAATGGGGAACAGATTAGAACCTAATTTATGAACTGTTAATGAACACTAGACTAATTATTTTGTTGAACCTGATCACCCTATTTTTCTTGCTTTTGGGCAACAAAGCTTCACTTTTCAGTTCATTTTATACTCTATGGATTCTCTAAATTGTTGTATTATACTCAGGTGACCGTTAAGGCCCTTGGGCCTCTTGTTTCTTTGTGTACTCTAATATATTGTAAGCCTTATTTTGTTGGATTTTGAGTCATTTATTCATGCATAGAACAAAAATCACTTAAACTTCATTGGTGTAGAGAGCCGCCTTAAATTTTGTTCTCGAATAATCTATGTCAGTAGTGTTGGTTTCCAATTGGGAAAAAGATCTCAAGTGGAATAAAAAAAACTGTAACAAAAGTTTCTGAACAGAAAAAATAAGTTTGAAAAGCTTTACAATATATTCTTCAATATAAAATTTCCAAATATTGCACTCCAGAAGAGAAATCAAATGTAACATAATTTGCACAGAAAACTTGTATAAAGAAATACCGTAAAAGATACATAAAGACACAAAGAGATTATAAGTCCATTTCGTTCTATCGGTAAATTATAATGTGACAAAATGCATAAAAATGAATTTTTCTCTGTAAATATCAATATAAAAATATGAAAACCTGAAATAACTAACAAGAATATAAAAGAAGTATAATTATATAATACAAGAGAGACAGAGAAACACGTGGTATAAATTGATATCCACTGTTTATAGGCCAGTTGTTGTTTAAAAGTGTTGAGTTGATTATTGAATGGGTGGTGGATGAGCTCAACGATGACGTTGAAATTATAGTGGAGATGAGGTCTGTGAGATTTAGTGGTGTACAGTCTACATTGAATGGCCAGTCACATTGGTCATTATTAGTGTTGAACTCTAAATTTGGTGGACAGACTTTTACATAGGCTTTTCCTCTAACACACTGAATAAACTTGGAACAGTCGGTCATGTATCTGTAGAAGCCATCGGTAGACTGACTACAGTCGACGTCTAACAAGTAGAAAAAAATACTGCTGTATAGAGAAATCTAGATACTACCAGGTACATACCAGGTATATCATTAAAAGTGATTTAAAAAAGAATAAGATGTAAGAAACAAATATTTTTCCATATAGAGAAATCTAGGAGAGATGGATGTGAAATGTTCATACCGTGACTTGTGATCCCTGAATTATCATTCCCGCCATTGTTGGGATCTTTCCCTCCGTTGACTGATGGTGTTGTGTTGGGGGACCTGGTTGTCGGTCCCAGGGTGGAGAGTGGGATGTGTGTGGATGGTGGAGTGATCGAGTGACCAGATTCCCCTGCCTCCAGTGTTCTCTTCATCACCCTGGATAACGGGTAAGCCCCATAGCTACATATATTGTTAAAATCGTCAAAGTCTAGCGCCCATATCATGGCACCTCCTAGGTTTTTCTTTATTACTTGGTCGTTTATCTACATTTAAAGAAAATTGTACACAAAATTGTTAAAATACTATCAACTTAGAGTTACAGAAATACAGTGAATTATCAATAAACCACAATCTTTTGCAGTTTATTAATTATTGAGGTCTAACGAGTTTTGCAATGATCTTCGGAGAAATAGGATTATCGCTCTTTTGTTATAGACTGTAAAGTAGAAGTTACGGTCTTGGAGATGAAAAAATTCATACCTTACCTTGTGATATATGCTAAGCTGGTCATCGAATCCAATCCACAAGGTGCCCTCCACGAAGAACGGGTTTCTAGCTTGTAAGTCTCGATAGGTCTTACCATTCCTCTGAATTTGCCTCTCACAAATCTTTTAAAGAATTATAAAAATTCAGCATTATGTTTTATAAAACTGAAAGTAAGAATATTTCAATCTCTTCTTAGCCTGTAGATTAAGAAATTGAAGGCAATGTGGATTTCCGATAAGACTTGAAATAACAGCTTGTATTGCAGACCATTGAAGAAACATTTAACACATAAACGTATACAATTGATCTACAGACAAAGCTGAAGTTGTGAAAAGCATGACACATTATTGCTACCCCATCAATGAGGTCATGACTTGAACAATTAAACACACTTTACAAAGTTACTAACACAAGAGGCAAACTGAGTCAGAAGTTCTTGATAAGACCTTTTCATGGCATATTTTTGGGATTTACTCCTCCGTGTGACTCCGCGAGCGGAGCAGTAATGTGAACTACAATTGACTCAAAAAACTACTTACACAAAAGATTAATTTTGAAATCAAAGAAGATGTACGGAATATCCCCAAAACATAAATGTAAATGATCAAAATATAGAAAACAAAGAAATAACGTACATCGTAGAAGGGCATGAAGCCCGCCTCTCCTACATAGTTCCCCTGTGGACCGGGTCCGGTGGCTGGAGCGCCTACTCCATAATTGTTCTGGTCGGCAAGCGTGAAGGAGCGACCATACGTAGCCAGTCCCAAGACAAGTTTTTCAGCTGGAGCCCCTTTATTCAGCCAGTAGTCTACAGCAAAGTCCTGAAAAAAAAAACATATTGAAGAGTAAGAAATATTGATAATTCTACTGTGTTCTAGAAAAGGTCCATGGGTCTTAATATTCACGCTGCAACGTAATCTTGACGTACTATAAAACCAATCCACAACTCTTTACTTCTCACTTTTATTTCATGACCTGGGTCATAGATATGACCGTGTTAAAATTTCTACGCTTGTATTACTCCACAGAATTAATTTATTTTAGGCCATACGTTTGAAAAAGTTTCTTTTCATCCAAAAATACTAAGTTTAATAAAACTGTTTGAAATTGGTTCAGCAGCTTTAGAGAAGAAGTAAAAAAGAGTAAGGTACATTGATAATAGATCAATGTTCCATTAAGTCGCAGAATTGTGAATGGCGGTGCCCACAAAATAAATTGATCTTCTAAATAATGAATTCTCCCGTTTCAGTTTTCTTCTCAACCCAAATCACTTTATTATATTACACCCTTTTTTGCATATATTAAATCACTTTATTAAATTACAGGCTATATTACATATATTAAATCTCTTTATTATATTACAGCTTATATTACATACATTAATCACTTTATTATATAACAGCCTATATTACATAATATTAAATCACTTTATTACATAAAAGCCTATATTACATAATTATATTAAACCACTTTATTATATATCAGCCTATATTACATGTATTTTAAATAACTTGATTTTATAAAAAACTATATTACATATACTAAATCACTTTATTATATTACAGCCTATATTACATATATTAAATCACTTTATTATATTACAGCCTATATTACGTTTATTAAATCACTTTATTATATTACAGCCTATATTACGTATATTAAATCACTTTATTATATTACACCCTATATATTACATATATTAAATCACTTTATTATATTACAGCCTATATTACATATATTAAATCACTTTATTATATTACAGCCTATATTACATATATTAAATCACTTTATTATATTACAGCCTATATTACGTATATTAAATCACTTTATTATATTACAGCCTATATTACGTATATTAAATCACTTTATTATATTACACCCTATATATTACATATATTAAATCACTTTATTATATTACAGCCTATATTACATATATTAAATCACTTTATTATATTACAGCCTATATTACGTATATTAAATCACTTTATTATATTACAGCCTATATTACATATATTAAATCACTTTATTATATTACAGCCTATATTACATATATTAAATCACTTTATTATATTACAGCCTATATTACGTATATTTAATCACTTTATTATATTACACCCTATATATTACATATGTTAAATCAATTTCCTATATAATAGCCTATATTACATATATCATGAGTCATTTGGTTTATCAATCACTTAAAGTACGAGAAGTTTTAATAAATAAATGCATCCATGGATCTGTTTAGAAGGAAATCAATAGCCAAATGACAGCATTAAAACAAACATGTGTTGTTTTTTTAAAATTAAATTTGATTTAATAAAGCAATGATTGTTTTGCGTTGCATATTTTTATATCAAGGTATGTGAGACAGATGAAAAATAGTATCATTACATGTAAATACCATTGCGCAGTGTTATAAGGTCCCCTAATGACCTATGGCCTTTGGAAAAAATACAAGTATGTAGTTTTTTGCTTTCGGCATGCCATGATTATAAAACAGTTAACACAAATGTAGATATAAAGAATTGAAATAAAATTAAGATAAATATGAGACTCTTACCACATTGAATTCATTGCTGGTATCAGCAGACGATTTGTACAGTGGAGCATTAAATCCTGTGAATTTTTCCCAACCACCACGTAAGTCATATGTCATCAGAGATATGAAATCTAGGTACCTATATAAAAACATGTGTTAATATATTCCAGGAAATAAAAATTTTGACCAAAATATCTTGCAAATATAAAGATTTGAATCACTTCCTACTTTGACATTTCCGCCACATTATATGCAGTGTCCGCTACGGCCTTCCCTACACCGACAGCTGCAGTCAAAAGCAAACGACTTTTGTTGCTAGTCTTGGCTTCCTGTTTGAATGCCTCTTTGAGTTCCTGCAATGATATATGGTCACGATCAATGACATTTCTTCTTCCTTCTTTTCTCAGATTGATTTGTGATATATTGATATATGTGTTTCGATCAAGTTGCTTGTCTCACTTTTCTCTCAAGAAACAATAATTCATGTTAAGATGATTACTTCATATTGCAAAGAAAATGGAAAAAAAAGAGTTAAACTTTAATAAATAGATTAAGATTGAATAAAAAGTCAAATCGTTTTTCTAAGTTATGATTTTTACCCCAATTTCCTACTTTGAACCTCTTAATATTTTCCAAAAGTCTTTCCGTGACCTATTATATCACAAAAAGATCATGAATCAAATCAATATATAATTTTAGAATTCAAAATAAACCAAAGTACTTATGAAAATAAGATTACCCTTATTTAAAAACATTTAATTCACGTGTCTTAATTACGAATGTGTCAGTAATTTCAGATATGGTGCTCATATATGTACTTATATAAATCATTTTGAATTGTTCATCTTAGACCTTTTTACCTGTAGTAAAGTGGAAAAATTTTGGTTCATGTTTGACCTTTTTACCTGTAGTAAGGTGGGAATTCATGTTTGACCTTTTTACCTGTAGTAAGGTGGGAAAATTTTGGTTCATGTTTGACCTTTTTACCTGTAGTAAGGTGGGAATTCATGTTTGACCTTTTTACCTGTAGTAAAGTGGGAAAATTTTGGTAATCCTCCGGGCGGCCTCCGCGGTTAGCAGGATACTCCCAATCCATATCGAGGCCGTCAAAATCATACTTCCGGAGCCAAGCTATGGCGCTACCTATAAATGTTCGCCTTGAAGCGAAAGTGAGAGCCATGTCTGAGTAAGGCTTACTTCCAGCGGTCCATCCACCCATTGCCAGAAGAACTTTTAGCTCCTTGTTTGTCCTCTTGAAAGCATTAACTTCCGCGTACCTATCAATATAAAAAAGTAAAATATATCTGTCAGGTAAATCTGTTCTGTAGTTTCCTGTTAGTACGTACAGTGTATATTGGATTGGATCCTTCATTAGGATTCCCACCAAGTGCTGTCGGTTCAGTTCAGAGATCATAATCTGTCATCATTTCTGATGGTTATTTTCTCTCCTATTGGTCCAATACCCTTCATACTTCACGGAACAAGTGTTCATTAGAATAGAAGAGCGTACATGTAGATTTTAGCTCAATGATATAAGTTTTAAAAAAGATAAGATTGTGATGATTCGGGGATATTTCCTTTAAAAGAGAGCAATTTCTTTTCCCTTGCCCCATGTCACCCATACTTCTCAAATTCTGAGTTTTTGAAGAAAGATGCACAATGACCCTGGACAGATTTCTATCCCTAAGGTTGCATAGGTCAAGATAAGAGAGTGTTTAAGGTACTTGCTTATAAAGAGCATTGTATATCCCAATAAATTATTTTCAATGCTTTTGAAAAAGGATGTGCTTTGGTCAGCTTGAATAAAACCTCTTCCTCAAAAGCCATGGTCTTGATCAAAGCAATTGTATTATTGAGAATATTGTGAAACCTTCTCTAGCTAGTTATACGTGAATTCTTTTCTTCTAGTCAATCATCTATGCAGTGTTCGGGAGTCATGTATATAGAAATCTTGCACGTATATTCAAAGCAAAACGATTTATAAAATAGATTGGTCTTACATGCAGTCAAAAATCATGGTTTTGTCGGTTGTCACATGTATATGAAATATGAAGGCCATGTTTCTTCTTTCATTCAAATGTTATTACCAATGGTAAAGTTTTTGTGACAGACAGACGGTCAGATGGATGGACTGACGAATGAGATTCAATGTCCCTGTGAGAACAATAAGGGAAGTTGAAATAAAGAAAAGCTAAAGAAGTCCCGTTTCTCATAATGCTTAGTTGTTTGTTCTTCATCGTCAATCCAAATATGAAAATTAATTCATTTAAATATTATGCGGAAAAATCTCTCAAATGTCTTTTATTTCCTGTTCACTGGGATATACTGCGTCGACATATGAGTGAAAATGTCTAATGTTATACCTTTAAAAAAATATTTTCTATATAATTCAGTACTAATAAATTCAAACAGTTCCAATGTTTTTCTGAGCGGTTAAAATAATTGATGCTGGACCGCTGAGTGAGATATTGGACCTGTCGATGAGATATTGGACAGTTATGACGCTTTTACGTGACACTGTAGGCGGGATCAGGTATATCTTTATCAATTATCGAAAACATGGAAGCTGCAAGAAAAGTCAAAATAAAAGTAAAAGGTATATATATATATATATATATATATATATATATATATATATATATATATATATATATATATATATATATATATATACATATACAACATTTATTTACTTTTCTCTGACAAAATGTGTTTTTGTCGACCCCTCAACACAAAACAAAACGCATGTTGCCCTCGAACCAAGTCAATAAATAATAAATATATATTTTTAATTGATAAAATGTTGTGAATATCAAAATATCGGGATGAAGGCCACAGCAAGCGTTTTCTTTTCTCGTGTAGTTCCTTTTGAATAATGAATATAAAAACAGGTCGATAAGAAAGATGCACAATTAGTGTTAACGCATCGAAATTCCAATGGATTGTTGGAAGACCTAAGACTACATACATGTAGATATTGTCAATGAGGAGCTAGAGCATCACTTTTAATATCAACCTCAGAGTACTTGTGTGAAAAAGTTTTGACATTGACCAATGTTTCTTAATTTAATTTTAATGACAAGGGGGATCTTGTGAATTCCTAATCTGAAAATTACATGTATTTCATTATCAAATTCCCATCCTAATTTCACTTGTACATGTACTTTCTGTGATGAAAGAGTATTTTTAAAATTATTGTAACCAGCAGTTCTTATTTTAATATCATTTTTCCCATGGCTCAGTATTACTCACACTTGACCCATATCTTCATGAGTAATTAATGTTTATAATAAAGTACATGTACTTTACATCGAATAAGAAAGGTTCTTATATTTTTTGCATTTTTCAGGATGGCAAAGATGAAGGTATAATGGGCGTCATTATTTTGGGAGGAATTAATCCGGATGACCCAGAGAAGTCGTGTCTTAAAAATGTGAAAGCTTTGCGTGGTGTTCCCTAATCATCCCATTAAGTCATATGCTGACTGACGTTTTTCATACTAATTGTTAGGCCATTATTTACACACTGATTGTCGACGGATTTTTCCGTTATTTACCGATCATGACAAGGAGCACACGGCGGGTGTGACCGGTCGGCAGGGGATGCTCACTCCTCCATGGCACCTGATCCAACATAGAGGTCCATGTATGCTCTGCTCCAGATTTGTATTGTTTTAATGGACTTTGAGCTTGAATACGTTCGTTATCTCCATATTTCATCATATGTTTGTAAGAAATTCAGCTTATTATAATTCTTATTCCCATTTTAAAACTCATTAATTTTTCTTATAATATTTCCATTTTCTGTTGCTATGATATTCACTTTACCTTTTGTCGTCGTTCCACTCAAAATTGGTGATACCATTGTTTTCCAGCTTTCCAAAGGCATATATGATATGCGTGCACAAATTGGGGTCGATATTACTGGGCTCGAATTTAGCGATACCATTTCTGTATTGGGCCCAGTTTGTATAGTAACACACTCTTTTATATTTTCCACTGGCTGTAATATTATTACAATAAAACAAGTCAATTTAATGAAAAGAAAACTATTAACAATAAAACACTTTCTTCAGTAAAATATTCTGGTTTAATACATAACTGATTCATTTTCTTTAAATGATGTATCATTATATAAGATAATGTTCTCATTTACAGTGAAAATACTCTAATATAAATAAACGTCTGTACATTTACGCAGAATCATGTAGATTTATAGGTATATATCTACTTCTGCTCCTTAACTAACTGTGGGATTTTGAACAAAGTATTTCTTCCTACTATAAGACTGTAATTAACTGTCAGTAAGACTTTTAAGATATATGGTTGTCGTTGGGATTGTTCCTCTAGCAGGATTACTTATAATTAATTAAGAAAACTGCTTGATTTTCCTAATAATTTTATGAGGGAGGTGCTTTTAACCATACAATGTAGGCACAAATGAAGGAATTTAACTTTTTTTCTGTGTGTGTGTGTGTGTGGGGGGGGGGGGGTCAGGCGTTGTAATGAAGGGGTATAACTGTAAAAGCTGTAATAGTATACATGTATGTTGCCAAAATAACCCCCCTCCCTATTTTTCTTCTATCTATGGATGGGTCTGTAACTGATATTTTTTGACGATAGTTTTTAATCTTAAGTTTGTCACCAAGAAGTTAATTCGTTTATTTTATTTCCTATGTAAACACGTTTACATGGTAGTGGATTTGTAGCAATAGAATTACATAGACCAGTGGTTTACACGTTTTGTTACTTAAGTGTTTATATATTCTCTGACTGTACAGTCATTGTGACATCGACTCCGATACTTGAGTATTATGGTGTGAAAACGGATACATAAATTGTTAATGTACCTCATATATACTTTTTCTTTTGTGTTCATGCAGAAATGCGTGTGACACAATACATTTACATATACATGTAGTTATTTAGCATATCTTTTGGGAACATATCAAGTGATACACGTGTGTTAATCATTGTTTCCTTAATGCAGGAATTGGACTGTGACAATGTCGACTGAAAGAAGAACGAGATATCATGTGCAGTAGTTAGTCGGTTTGTTAAATATTGTTTTATCTGAGAAAATTCTAGTTTACTTAACGAATTCTAATGAATGTTGTTTTTCTTGAAGAAAATAAATTTTTAATAATCATTGTGTTTCATATAATGCTGTGAATTTTTAAAGGAATTTAATCATCGATACAGTGTGTTGAAGGCTTGTCGTGGGAAGGCAAGAAATAAATGTCATTTGCTATGACAAAGATATCAAGTATAATGATTAAATGACCCCACCCTAGACTAAGACAGAAAAAATTCCAAAATCACTCCACTAGATAACAATTTTGATTCCAAAGCAAATATCAGCATTTCTGTCAGTTATTAATTTGTTTATAAGTTGGTGAGTGTCAAACCCTATGACACAATTTTAAAATGAGTCGGGTTTGAACCATTTTACTTAAATTTTAGGTGTTTTCCCCTCTAATTTTAGCAATATTATAAAATAATAATTCATATTTATCATTTCTCTGATTGATGTTGTTTACGTCATATATTTGATTTGATTTGGTGGTGGTGGTGGGGGGGGGGGGGAGGGGGGTGTTAGTTTCTATACCATCTTTATGTTACTATAGCATTTCTACTGCTACTGGCTTTTTTCAAATACAGACGAACATAAAATATGCATGTATCACATTGACTGTTACCTGTTTACGAAGAAAATAGATGCTTACCTGTAAGGCAGATGTAGGTCAAATAAATCACGGTAAATAAAAGGCGATTCAGCGACATTCCTGACGTCTCTCTTGTAACACTTCTCAATTTCACATTTTAGTTTTTGTTTCAACTTCTCTCCATTCTGTAAACGACCAGCAGATCCACATTGTATTATTTATCGTATATAATACTTCCTGAGCGTAGTTCGTCGGTCATTCTCTTGAACCATGAAAAATTCACGTAGCTTTTATAAATCATGTAACACACGCCTTCTCATGTTCATGTAGGTGGCTCGATACAAACAATGTTTATGATCAGAGCTCTCGAGTTCTGTTAAACAAATGGTCATTTATATCGCTCACACAGCCATCTTGATATCCTTTATTTTAATAACATTTAATCTATACGAAGGTACAAGGAAACATATTATTACGCAGAGGATGTTTGCATCATTTTTATTGAACAGTTCAGACTCTGTTTTTCACCCATATATGTTTATAAATAAGCAATCGATAAAATCAAGGATACATTGTATGCATATAGTCGTATTAGAATGGCAAGGGACACATGCTATTAAGTACATTTACTAATAAAGTCGTGTTGTATGTACATCATTGTTTATTAATACAATCAAATGTTTTTCTTCCAATATAAATCTATTCTGTGTTTATGTAAATTAATACATGCCTGGTTTATCAAATCTTCTTATTAAGTTACTTATTAAACTGAAATACATGTACATCTTTTAAATCAATACTGCAAAAATGGCTATTGAAGGGTTGAAAGTTTGACGAATTTTGGTATATTAGAAAAATGGCGAGTGGAAACATTGACGATGTAATATTTTTAAAAGTGCTCTTTAACAGGAATTTGAAAATTTGGACGATTATAAGAAATTAGTCAATTTCGTTAACGTTTCAACATCGTCCAATTTTCCACTTATACAATATCATACATCTCACGGCAAAAGCCAGAAATAGGAATGCGTCCTCTTCATTTCGGGGATTAATAACTTTCATTAAAACGTTGGTACTTGAACACAGATTGTCCCCTCCCTTTTTTCTGAACCTTCCCCTAGAGTTGCTAAGTGCTTTTATGCGGAAATAAGGTAATGAAATTTGGAGAGCACTTCTTTTTTTTCTCAATCGACTTCCCAATCAGTGTATTTCCCGATAATGAGGAAAATACCTTTGATGAGTATGTGTAAGAGCAAGACAAAGATGTTAAATACCCCCCCACTTCTCCCCCAAATAAGCGAATTCAAGTTGTTAATAATCACCCCCCCCCCCCCCCAATCATCCTCCGGTCTTTTTTTCTTTTTTCGTAAAAAAAAAAATGTCAGAATTGCGACATGTTTTCAAAGATGTGGTTTGCCTTGACCATGAACGACCTAGAAGTTATTAAATCCTGAAAGTTCGCCTAGCTCCATTGATATGATATATGATTTATGCTCATAATGAAAATACTATAATCGGTATTAAGGATATTCTTACTATTTTATGAATTCTTTATATGTGCAATCGAAAACTGTGGTATTTACCTTGACCTTGCTGTAGGGAGAGGGCTAAAATAGGCTATGCGTGCTGCCCAATCCCATTCACTTCATGTGAATAAAATTATATATATATATATATTAGGGATGTCAATTTTATTCGGACAGCGTAGTCGATTTGTCGGAGGCTTTAGTCGAACGATAGTCGAATATTCGTTGAAATTTAAATTAATTTTTCATGTCATTTTCACTATATTTGTCTTTTATAGACTAGTTGTACAATATTTAACCTACGCTATCACCATTATACAACGGATTTCTAAAACGTAAACATTTTCGGAGTACAATGAATACTGTACATCTACATGTATCCAATGCATTTGATTTCAAAAATTAATATAATATTAATTTACTGCACATTTTATCTAAATGCAGGATATCAAACGCTCGCATTTGTCCTTTCTTTTCATAACGTTTGTACATGTGCCCGTTAATTGAAGCCATTTCTACGTGTCGTGCCAGTGCCCTTTGCCTGGTAAACAATTAAAGCGTGCCTCTTATAAAAACAGAGAGAGCTTGCGATAAATTTTAATTTTGAGATTTTGTCTAAACAAACAATACACTGCATGATATTAATATCAGAAAGAAACAGCATTAATTTTAATTACGCTCATAACTGTCACCCAATTTACACGTACTTACAATTTTGTAACAGCTGTTTAATTATTCTTTATGAATAGTTGCATTACGTCAGATCTTATGGTATTGCAGATTGAAACTTTATAATAATTTGAATTTACAAAACCAAAAAATTCTTGAACGTCCTCTCTATTGCAACAATCAGCTGATCATGCAGTGGTAAACAATCCTTGATAATCATGTTCGTGATAACAACATTTTTCTTTACGGCTCTGCTTTTTGGCATTTTTGTGGAAAACTTAAATTACTAGGAAATTTTCACTTGAAGACTGTGTATATGTTTGATGGATTCGGCATATAATACATCATATTTGATGTTCAAGTTCAGTTTTACATAACCTTGATAACGTACTTTTAACTGTTTTTTCCATCCTGGCATCTTTTTAAGTATCTCAAACTGTAAGTTTGGAGGCATAAATCGACATACAAATAATTTCCTTTGAACGGTTAAACCATACCCTGAGTTTTACTTACGAGAACATTGATTTGTAAATGAAATGGTCAAATCCAAGTTTATTACCTTGAATTTAAAATTACTTTTATGTAACACATTTTTAACGAATAACCGACTAAAGAAATTTTAGTCGATAGTCGGTATGATCGAACGATAGTCGAGTACTCGAATATTCGTTGACATCCCTAATATATATATATATATATATATATATATATATATATATATATATATATATATATATATATATATATATATATATATATATATATATATATAAAAGAAAGCCGTGGTATTTCAGCGAGAAAGGTTTGTTTCAGTTTACAAACCTTCAAAGAAATTTCGGGTAAAAAAGGTAAGAACATCTTTAAAAAAAAATGCTTGTTTGCCCATCTAACTGAAAATGTCCCGACTCAAACCTTTTTTTAAATCTCCAGGGGAAAAAATAGTCCTGCTGGACACGTCATTACTGGTGACGTTAATATAGTTAATATTGAGGACCTCAAATCACTTATTTTAAAAAGGACAAAATTCAGGGAAATCCGATCTTTCAACTGGCGTCACGATTTCATAAACATTATGTATTCTGTGGAAGGTTACGCTAGACGATGGGCCAAATATGAACAAGAATACTTTGACACTTTGTCAGAATGGATTAAAAGTATTAGATGGATGTTGAAATCTTGCATTGAGCGATTGAGGGGCAATATGAAAACCATCTATCTTTTTCATCAAATTCTTCAAAACCATATGTCAGTTATAATTTTTTTAATATTCCGTACAATCAAAATGAATTTGAATTACCATACCTTAATACTTGATTCCAAAGATCCATATAAACAAAGATACATAGCAGGTTCCAGTAAATGTTCTACCAAGCCTCTTTCTTTACTCTTCACCAAAATACTCAACAGTGAAGGAGAAACTTCATGAGTACTGTACAACAATATATTCGAGGTGGTGTAAATCAGATGTAGATACTTAAAAACTCTGAAACTTTTAGAAACATTTTGAAATCACAAAATTTTTACCGAAAACAAGAACATCAAAACGTACGACTTTTCAACGCTTTATACAACCATTCCCTACGATAGATTAAAGTCCAGGCTCTTTGACATCATAGACAGCTGCTTTTTCAACAAAACTGGAACTCATAAATATACTTACCTTGTCTTTGGTTATTTGCAAATTATTTTGTTAAAAACATTCTGATTGTACATACAAGTACTCTGAAGTTGATATTAAAAAGATGCTTGAGTTTCTGATTAACAATATCTATGTAGGTTTTGGAGATCAGGTCCTCCAACAATCTGTTGGAATTCCCTTGGGTAACAATTATTGTCTGACGTCATGGCGTCAGACAGTACTAGATTTAGCCAAGGCTTATTGGCCATGTCGTTTAATAGAATTATTGTAATAACTCGATCTTGGAAACTTCATTCTGTCTTAACTATCATTTTTGAGAGCATGGGAATTAATGGCTAAACATCCAAAAAAGCCAAAGCATTGGACCTAATTATTATCACATTATACATTACACGTAACATAACATTTTCCCGCTCTCTTATGTATTACAATCATTCATGTACGTCCAGCAAAACAGCAGGAATGAAGCTGGTCGATCAGGTCAACACGTATGCCGTATATCATTATCTGATTAACTACTAGTAACAGACGTTTATTTTTAATACATACCGTCTTTCTGACGTTTGCTCATTTAAAACAAGTTGATGAATTTAAAAAAAAAATAATTCTCCCAACTGTTCACCAACTGATGTTTAGATTTTAAAATAATATGTTATATCTTTTTTCTTTTAAAAGTACCGGTTATATTTATGCATCTAGGAAAAGGCCAGTCGGAAGAAATTTCATGGGGAGATAATCAACAACCAAACATTTCAATGGAAGGGGCACTATCAAGGAAAATTTCCTTATCATTAATATCAAGCAAAAAGGTTATCATGAATTTCATACGTTATTATTTACTTGAGTTATGGGAAACAAGCATAAAGTAGCAAAAGTGTTTTAAAGTATATAATTACAGGTATATATATCAACAAAATACGGAGGGGGGGGGGGGGGTCCCGAGTTCCTATGTCCATGAAAAAAAAAGAAAATTACAAGTAATACCTGTCAGTATATATAGGATAAATACATAGTTGAGTTTCATTTCATGTTGATGTTACAGGATTGAACTTTTTTGTTTCTTAGTGAAATAATTTTTTTTCTGGATTCAGGATAATGTTGAATACGCTGGACTCAACTTTTCTTTATTAATTCTTCGTATAATAATAAATTTGCTCACGTCAGACAAGCTTTTTAAGAAAGCTAATACTTGTTAGCAGACCTATTTTTGTATTCATATGAAGCAAAATTCATTCAAAACTTCTACATGAGAAAAAGAAAACGCTTGCTGTGGCCTTCAATTCGATTTTTAGATATATCGACGACGTATTATTAATTAACAATAGTTACTTCCATTCATATGTCGATTAGATGTATCCCAGTGGACTTGAAATAGAAGATATCACAGAGTCTAACACATCTGTTTCATATTTGGATATTTTACTAGAAAAGGACGTTAATGATAACCGAACAACAAAACTTTATGATAAACGTGATGACTTCAACTTTTCTATCGTCAGTTTCCCTTTTATGTAGCAATATACCCTTAGTACCTGCATATGGAGTTTGTTTCCCAGTTGATTCGATACGCAAGGGCATGCTCTACGTACGATCAATTTTTAAAACGAGGCAAACTATTAACCAACAGGTTGATGAAACAAGAATATCAACAGTCTCGTTTGAAGTCATCATTTCGCAAGTTCTTTGGTCGATACAATAACCTTATCAGCAAATACATTAATCTATCGTTAGGTCAAATGCTGACTGACATTTTTCATCCTAATTGTTAGGTCATTATTTACATACTGGAATTTCTACGGATTTTCCCGTTTACCCGATTATGGCAAGGGGCACACGGCGGGTGTGACCGGTCAACAGGAGATGCTCACTCGTCCACCTGATTCCTCCTCTGATGTTTTTGGAGGTCCATGTTTGCTCCCGATTTGTATTGTTTGAATGGAATGGACTATGAGCTTGAGTACTGTTCGTTATCTCCATATTTTATGTACTAAGTTAATTTGGTTGAATCTAACAACAGAGCAATAGGACGTCATATAGACTTACACCTCGATAGTTCCTTGGAGCTTTCTGCTGCTAAATTCCCAAATACAACAATACGTTTTATATACAATAGTATTGCCCACATTTATTTTACAAATTTGAAGAATTCTAGATATTCATAATTATAATATATATACTATTTTTATTTATTGCTTCTCCTAACACAACCCTATTTCCTTCTTCCATTGTGGCACATGGTGTAGCATTTTTGGTTTGCTGAGAGTGTATGGCGGCTGATGAGCTTTTACCTGTGCTGAATAGTTAGTTCATAGTTTATATATATTTTTTAACTATCACATTTAAACAATTTAAACCCTGTTGTTTATTGATGCAATGCAAACTTAATACAATGAGTCATGTTTAATGAAACTAGAAAAAAGACAAAATGATTGTTTTATTTTCCTCATCTTGAAAAAACGGTATCCAAAGGTCGTGTTTAGCCTTAAGGGAGCCGACTGGGGTTTTATTCTGTGAAAACTACTATAGAGAAACTCTTTAATTTCATTCCATATGTACCTTATATTGACTTCAGTATATATGCCAAGTTTAGTGAAAATCTACAGTCTGGTTATTTTTTAGGGACCATCTCAAAATACAAGTACATTTACTATAGGATTATATAGGAAAATACCATTTTTTCGCACTTCGGAGCAAATTATACAAATGCTACTATACACATTTTGCTCAAATTATATTATTTGATGGGTAATACTATATTGTACATTTTATACAAGAAACACAAAATTCTACCGTCTTGTTTCCAGAGGGGGCATCTCAAAATGCCAAAATCTATGACATTTTCCTGTTTTTATGGAGTACAACAAAACATGACAGATACAACAGATTTAAATAAAAAATAATAAAAATGATTGTGAGATTCTCAATTTTCTATGTTTAAAATTTCAAGAGCATCTATTTTATACTTTTTATTTTATGACATAATTAATGACCCCGCTTAAAGAACTTCGGTTATTCATAACGTCAAAAACACACTATTACGACGTCTATCTACCCATTATTAGAAAAATCGTTTAAAAAATCAGTTATTTAGAAATGTAATTAGATTTTTTAACTTGAGATTTCCTAAATTTGTTAATTTATATGAATTATGTAAAAAAAAGTTGCTTTAAAAGAGTAAATACGCTTTATTTTACTATGCTGCGCGAAGTATTGCGCAATGAAAACCCCAGTCGGCCCCCTTAAATATTCAATCTTTCTCACAGAAAAAAAAAACAAAGAAAAGATATGTATATAACAATTTTATTTCATAACAAGAGCAAAACCAAAAACATTTCCTTGACTTCAATCTGAAAATATAAAAAAAAACAAACTTTGCTTACATTGTAGAATACACTGTAAAAATTGCGCTTAGGAAATAAACTCTTCCATTACGTGTTTAGATCTAAACATGTTTGATTTTGTGTTTAACAACTAAACACTTGAGTCTTAATGTATTTAAAATCTATACGCGTTTAGATATTGAACATGTATTTTGTTTTAAATTCGGTCAAGTGCAGAGTTATCTTCCCGGAAATGATATATATTTGAACGTTTATAAGCGCGGTTGTCGAAACAAAGAAAGTCACAACAAAACAGTAAACGATATTTTCAAGGAAACCGGTGAGAATTTGAGTGACTGTGATCGCAGAAATAGTAAAATACACATGAAAGGCTTCTTGTTACTTCTACAGAGGGTATGTATGATTTTGTTTGAATAAAATTTATACATGAAGAGCAAGGTAAACAACATTGCTTTTTATATCCAGGATGTCTTTGGATGTCACATCATTGAGAGTAAATATTGAATCAAAAGATGCATAAATATCAATTAAAACATTTTTATTATATGCTCAATAGTTAATGTAAAACTTTAGCATGTTTAGTAAGGAGCACATACTGCTACTTAAATGCAACGTACGTTCTTTCTTACAGGTTAAATTTATTGGATAGCCGAGAGAAGGAACTTCAAAATTCATTTCTGTTAATGGATGTGGAAGATGGATTATATATACTGCCAGAGAAAATACTTTCAAGATTATCGATACTCTTCTGTTTTGTTTACATCACGGCGGCTTTAAAATAGTGAACCGTATTCCATCACATTGTAAGAAGCACACCATACAATGTACATTTGTACCTGGAGTCTGAAGACTGAATTGTATATTGTAAATACAATATTAACTTTGTATTGTGTTACTGTCTTAAAATGCAAACAATTCAACAGCTGGGCGTTTCTAGCTCTTTAGATACAAAAAGGATGATATGTCAAAACTTCTGTAAGACTGTACAAAAAATGAAAATCATTCACAGAAGAAAGGAGTTCCGCCGAACGATGATTCCGTGAGAACACTTTGCTGTGTGTTAGTTTTTTTTTTAGCATTTTAATATGATGTTTATAACTAAATAAAACTTATAATGGACACGCCTGTTATATTTTCAGTTTTCTTGCAGATCCTTGTTTAAAACATTGAAGTGTTTAGGTTCTAAACGCAAATCTAAACCGTTAAGAATTGTGTTTAAAATCTAAACATGTAAGCATTTAGGTTCAAAATACTTTCCATTACGCGTATTGAAATCAAACATGTTTAGAATTTAAACGCATTAAAAAAAGTGTGACAAGCTTGTGTTTAGAAATGTGTCTATCATCTAAACAAATTTTTTACAGTGTAGGCTGGGAGTGTATGCTGGGAATTTGATAAGATCTAACCCACGTGTTTGATCTGGAAGATATAATTATCTTCCTTGAATATGTCTCTGTTTCTAAAAGAAAATGATTTGTTATCCTTAAGTAGGGGAATATTTAATCAACTGCGAGAAATAATTAGGGAAATTAATTGTCATATTTCTCAAACAGGATTTTTACTAGTAATTTAAAATTTCAACGTAAATCTCATCCATATTTTGTTCTATGCAAGCAGTTTGTACCTTTTCTCATGCTAATAATAACAGTGTTACCTATCATATTTTTGCAAATAAATAAATAAAGCACTCTGTCAGGGAGATGTTCTCTTACCAAAGTCTTAAACCTAAACCCCTTCCTTGATGTTTTATGTGCCTTAATCGGACGATTTATTAATCTGATACATAAAATTTTCTCCATTGACAGCAATAAAGGAAATTTTTGTATCGCTTTATTTGATTAGTCAATAATTCAAACTTTCAACCAATCAGATAAAGCCAAACGAAAGCATCAAAACATCTTCAATCTGCTTGTATAAAACAAAATATGGATGTGATTGACGTGGAAATCTTAATTTTTTAAAGAAAGAATATGCTCTTACAATTTTTTTAATTCAAAAAAGGGGTGGGTATCTATTCTCACTTCAGGTGCCTGTGCTCTTTATATAAACATGACATTCGCTGATAAGGATAAAATCAGAAGTAAACAAGAGATTAGCAGAACATTCTACACCATGATTTTTTTTCTCATGAAAAATGAAGCAATAATTCAAAGATCTTTTGTAGTTTAAAGAAGGATAAAACTAAGGAAAGTTAAATATGTTCAATACTTTTCAAAATACTTTTCAAATTTTAAAGATTTAAGTAAATCAAGACAAAACAAAAACATTGGGTTTTATTTGTATTGTTATTAAAATGTGGATTAAGATTTTTAATTTAAACTTTCCTTATTGACTGGAATGCTATTTTGAAAATTTGAATCAATTACCATAGATCAAATTCAAACTTTACAGTGATACATGTAGCAATGTTCTCTTAGAAATATTACACATATTCAAAGCACAAGCTTACATTTTCCCCTGGACTATTTCCTCGGCGGACTGACACAGTTTACAGCTGTGATCCAATCACATATCTGTTTCCGTGGATTGTAATACAAGTCCTTGGGGCATTTGTAATGAAACGTTCTCTGGCTTTGGCACACGTAATACTTTGAACAGTCGTTAACATCTGTGTAATAACCATTTCTTCTTCTTCGACAATTGAAATAGTCTGTAATTGAAAAAAATAGTTTACATAAAAGATTAACGCTTGCTATTTAATTGTTCAAACCTCAAATTATTCTGCTGCCAGAAGTACTGATAAAATTTCTCGACCCAAATAAATTTTTTAAAAAAATATTCTATTTACAGATTTATAGTAAAGTATTTGACCAATAGACATTTTTTGTTCAAGTTTAATTCGAACTGATATGGTTTGTAACTTGCATACATGTCCCTAAAGAAAATGCAGATAAAATATGAATGATTTTTTTCATTAAAGCTACGGCGATAATTGCTAAATTTTTAACCTTGACTAAAAGGGTATTAGTTAATTTTGATACATTAATCTTTCGATAAATAGAGACATGAACCAAACACCCTTACAGCAATAGACGAGGGAAACAAACAATACAAAGAGCATTCATGCTATACAGAAGCTTGTTCTCTAGAAAGATGTCTTTTTTCTAAATGAAAGAAAATATTCTTCGACAATAATTTTTAACATACAATAAACTGTTTCGATAGCAATAAAGATATTCAGAATTATTTCTTTAAAAATTATACCTACATATAAACTGATTGCCATTCGAGTATATGGATTAAGAAACATTCTTGCATACAAGTTTTTCCTTGTAGAGAAGGCTATAATGATGCGGACATTTTTAGGGCTTAAATTCTCTTAACTATTCGAGAAATAGGAAATAAGATATTCATGAGACTAACTAATGTATCTGTATTTTATGACCAGTGATTTGTGCATTGCAGGCTATCTAAAACAGTGTCCAGGTGTGCATTATACTTTGACCATCAACTTATGCTTTCCATATTCCAAATTCGTGCTCTGAAATTTTACGCATATTATTTCCAACTTACAAAAATAGGGTGGGTAAATTTTCCTTTCAGTTATATGTAGCCAAAGGGGAGATTTCTCTGCAAGAGAGAGACTATCATACACATGATGGCTCAAAACTGGTAATCATTCAATTGTCATATTGTAATTTTTGAATTTACCGGGTGGTAGTAAATACAAAAATTACAATATGACAATTAGTTGTCATATTGTAATTTTTATATTTACTACCACCCGGTAAATTCAAAAATTACAATATGACACAATCACAACAAGACAGCGAAACAAAATTGTATCCAAATATTATCACTTACTTAGAATACCAGTGCGTGTAAGTACTAGGTTGACTTGCTCCAGTCCTCTTGGGATTGGAGTCTCTATTGTTGTAGTTCTTCTAGTCGGAATTATCTTATTCAATCTCGGGGGTTTTCTAGTTTCAGCTGTGGGTAATGGTTGCGGTGTTACTTCCCTCGCTGTAGTTCTAAACCCCCTCCCTGTTTCCCGTGTCGAGGTTTCTGGTTGAAAACCTCTTTTTAAAGATCGGAAAGAGAAAGGGTTCTTTTTGACAATGACAGTAAATTTTATATGTTTCATGGTGGTCATTTCTCGAGCAGTTTGTCCTGTTGTTGTCTGCATTACAGGATTCGGTGTGGGTCTTGGTATTATAATGGTGATATTGTTTGGCGGAGGAACTGATGAAACCAATATGTTCGGTGGTGTCACAATCGGCGGTAGCACGGTGTTAATAATGGGCGGTAATGTCGTTGGTTCCTCTTTGGTTGTGGTTGCTTCTGTTGTGGTTGCTTCTGTTGTTGTGGCTTCTGTGGTGGCCACCTCTGTGGTGGTCACCTCCATGGTGGTCACCTCTGTGGTTGTTGCTCTCGTGCTTGTAGCCATTGTGGTTGATACTATTCTTGTGGTTGTTGTAGATGGAAAATTAGATAAACGATCTGCTTCTAATGTTTCAGATATAACAGAGGTCAAAGGATAAGTGCTAGAGGATGTTGAACACATTTTGTTGAAGTCATCAAGAGACAAGGACCAAACCATGCTTCCTCCATATCCTTCTTGTAGGATCCATTTTGCCTTAAATTGGAAAAAAAAATCAACAAATTTAGAATAGAATTTGAAGTTTATTTCTTGTCACTGTGGTCTGCTCTCGAATCAAACTTATTCAATAACTCACCTTATTCTTTACACTGTAAATGTCATCATATCCCACCCACGTGTTCCCAGTGACGTAGTAAGGCACGCTTTGCTCCTCGTCTCTGTGTATTTTTCCTTTTCGTCTGTCTTGCATTTGACAAACCTGTTTAGAAATATAAACATTCAAATAAAAGACATAAAACAATATCTCAAAAAACATTAAGGTTTATATTGTCAAACGCAGTTAGGGTTCTATCATCGTACATTTTTCTTGTTTCAAATAAGTTACTGTCTTCTGAAAACTGATCGAAGCAATTACTTCGTAATAAGACAGAAATCCGGTTTCTCTTGTATACTGCCCTGGACGTCCTGGGGCTACAGCTGACGCTCCAATGTTCCGGTCATTTCGAGGATCCGCCAATGTGAACGTTCTTCCGTACGTGGCTATTCCAATGTTAAGTTTATCTCTGGGTGCACCATTCTGTGTCCAGTACTTAGCGGCCCAGTTCTGATAATCGATTACCATAGTCAGGTTAAAACATTATTTGATTTTTGGTTATTCTAAAGAACTATTTAATTGCATGTATTTATATATAAAAAATAATAATGAAACTAACAAGTTCTATTCGAATCAAGTTTATTTATAAAGTAAAAATTTTATTTCAGATGACATTATTTAAAATAATAACTGTACAAATATGAATAATAGAATGATGGTGTCGATGTTACGTTTTCGAATGCATTTTCAAAATGAAATCAAAAGTAATAAAAATCCGAATTTAGAATTATAATTTCGCTTGATTCCTATTTTACCGTGTTCATTGTCCTTTGGGTCTCTGTTTCTGACCGGCGACTGTACAGGGGGCTGTTATGACCCACCGTGCTCTCCCAACCACCGTGAAAATCATACGTCATCAGATTTATAAAATCAAGATGCCTGGAAAAAAATTAAAGAGTTTCAAAAAATTGTTGATTTTTTTTTTATAAATCATAATTTTTTCATGGCTACTACTGGGAAATATGAATGCTTTATAATTCTAACAGAAAAGCGTTTACAAATCATTTAAACTGTAATGAGATCGTGTTATGTGACATTTGACATGCAAGTATTTGTGTATTTCATCGCATTATTTTCTAGTGTATCTTAAACGTGTAAATAAAAGTGCTTATTATATATTTGTTATATAATACAGGATTTTTGCATCCCTGATATGAACACAGGCACGCGGCCTTTAATACATTCCCTGTATCAGCACCCTTTATTTCACCCTTTATCACACCCTGTAATACACCTTTCCGGAACATCTTTGTATTTTTCATTCGGAGTATTTCGGATCTTTTTCGCTTGGGAGCAGACGATAGTTAAGTAAACAATGGACAAACGAACACCAAGAGAGATTGAAATGGGGGACAGAGTTTTAGAATCGTTAGCAAGGAGAATATTTCCTCAATAAACAACTACAGCACTGCATCTATCAACGAACAAAAAGGTATGTCAGATCTACTGAGCAACTTTTTCAAGGGAAAAACAACGGATGCAGCAGAGGAAATGAACTATGATCTTGGTGGGCTTGAAAATGTTCTCCAAGAAAGTGGGAACTATGAATTCAATAATGATATTATTAACAATATGTCTGCAAATGCATCAGTTCCATTTCCCCAGCTTAAAGGCTTATTCACCAGTTCCACCATTAATGGAAATTAATTTCTGTAAAGAGTAAACTGAAAACAAAGAAACTTCACAGAGAAGAGTTGAAGCAATGTCCTGTCTTACTGTTAATGTTGTTAATTTAATTTTTACTTCATTAAATATGTTGTTTCATTCAACATTATGTAGTTATTATTACTTTAATTTTTATTGGCCATTAAACTTAGAAATATTTTAAAAACAGATATACAACAAAAACAGATAAGAAATGCATATCTATTTTAATTATGGGCAAAGTTTGAAATTTTCAAATATATAATAAAAACAACAATACATTAAAAAATCTGTATTACACCCCATATCAACCCTCGACCAATATCAGCCCTCTGGCCTTCGACCCTCGGGCTGATATTGGAGTCTCGGGTTGATATGGGGTGTGATACAGATTTTGCCATGTATTATTCTCTCTATATATTTTTTTACACGGAAATCTGCCTACATGTGGAAAACATATGACCAACTGCCTCATTTATGAAATTAATGAATAAAATTCATTCCAAAACATAAGTATTTTACGATAAAGAGCCACGTGGAAAAGGCGTCACAAAACTCTCTGCACTGGTGATATTTTTTATCTTTGATTTTTGAGTGATAAAATTATTGATTTATTTAGGGGGGGAGGGGTCATAAGATGTTTTTGGTATATGGTATGAAAATACGCTCTAGCATGTGTTCATCATTTTATTTTGATTGTCCATATCATTATGTTATTGGGTTCTCATACAACACGATCTTTTTCATAATACTGAATTTTGTATATCGTAGTGTTTGACTTTGTATATCACTCATCGACGCAAACCACGGTTTTGAGTCAACAAGATGATAGAGAGAATCGATGTGAATCGCCCGTGGGTTACCGACGATGTATATCACTTCGTTACAAGTGTATATAGGTATGGAACTCCTAAACTGCTATAAATGTAGCGAAAAATATATAGATTGGGACGATATTTGATCATTATAAGCTGATACTTTGACATTGTGCTGATACTGTCTCTTTTGATGTTGATTCATGTACATGCAGTTCATTACGATGACACTTGGACTTAAAATTATCCTGATTTCCCGTCATAATATGATAACACTGTGACATTATTTCCCGACACTTTGTTATTGATTACACTTTGTCTTCATTTTACTGATACCTCTACATTGTAATGATAACGAATCTTATTCTCATATTGAAAAACAGTGTAGAGAAGATACAATATATGTACTAGTTGTATAAACAATATAATATACAAAAAATATTACATGCCTGAAGAAGAGAAAACAGAGTATAAGTAACCAAGAGAGATAACTCTGTCAGTTACATGTACGATAACGCTTTGACATTACCGGTATATTCTTATTGGTTGTAATTATATGGTGAAACCTTGACATTATTTGATGATACTTCTTCTTATATGATGATGCTATATAAAATAATGATAATTTGTTAGTTTCTTGTGTAGTTGGTTTTGGTGAAATAATTTAAGTCGAAACTTCCAGAAAGCAAGACAGGAGTTTCAACACATGTGGAAAAACATAATGGATTTGCAATGTACTATTTAGAATACAAAAAGCTTCAAATTCTTATACAAACAGATTACAAACCAAATTCTTATACAAACAGATAAACTAATATCTATCTTTTTTTTCTCATTGAAAATGCTCATTAACATGTTTTAGCTCCTGCTTCTCCAATATGTGCAGCATATTTTCCATCAATGTTAAAATAGTCAATAGTCTTGCTTTCCGAATGTTTGTGTACATTGTAATAAACATTTCATTTAAAAAAAATTACCAGAAAATAAAAAAAACACGTATAGAGTATCATTATATAAAAGCAGCAATTTAAAATACAGACGTATCTACATATATCAAATGGCTATCAAACAATAAAGTATCAGCATTTAATTACATGTATAACGATGAAATATCAGCATATAATTATGACAAAGTATCAATAGAATAAGACAACAAGGTACATTTATTAGCAAATATTGGAGAAGTATCATCATATGAAAGGGAGGTATCAACATATAATGCAGAAGTTTCATCACAAATTGAATGACATCCACATTGTGGAATTAGGTTTATCAGTATAATAGCACGTTTGTGATCATTTCTAATATGTACGTAATGTTTCATATGTTTCATATATAATAAGTAATGTGTTTTTATTGACATTTGAAATAATTGATTTTTTAAATTTAATCTGATACTTTATAAAAAAAAAAAAATAAATATATTTACAATCGTCAATCTACAGTCTTATAAAATTGGACATACTTAGCTAGAGTCTTTATATCGTAAGCCTGGTCCACGAGTTCTTTACTGGTAGGTACAGCGGCTGACAGAAGAAGGCGTGGTTTACCTGATTGCTGAGCTTCACGATCAAACGCCTCCCGTAACAGCTTTAAAAAAAAACAGAAAATCAAAAATGGTTTCATTAAATTTTAGATTTTTTAAAGATGACATCTTTTTTAAATCCTTGTTTGGAAAGTTTAGACAAAAGGATGTTGTTTATTATGTCTCAATGAAGTTATGGTTACCTTGACCAACTTAGCGAAATTCTCTTTATCCTCTGGCCTCCCCCCGCGTCTTGTGGGGTACTCCCAGTCTAAGTCTAACCCATCAAAGCCGTATTTTCTCAGAAAATCAATGGCTGAATTCACAAAGAGCAGTCTACTCTCAGTGGAAGCTACCATTGGAGAAAATGCCTTACTACCAGCGTTCCAACCTCCAACAGCTAATAACGTCTTCAACTCTCTGTTTTTATTTTTCAGGTTATTAAATCTTTCATACCTGAAAAAAATATTGTAATTTTCAGTCATAGGAAGTAGAGACTAGTGACGATCTATTACAATATACCAGTATTCATAAAACTAGTAAGTGGGTATACCCGGTACAAGAACGTACCATTTCGCTTACCATGTTTTATCCTAAAATCGTTATTGTTAACTTAATATTCTTACATTAGTGGATCGTTCCATTCGCTTGTCTCTATCTGAGCACCTTCTAGTTTGGCAAAGGCGTATATCAAGTGGCTGCACAATTCGGGCCTAATGTCTTCAGGGGTAAATCGAGCCGGGGCCTCTCTGTACTGCGCCCAGTTTGTATAATAACACACTCTTCTATGTTTCTTTGTTGCTGCATTGTAATTTTATATACGTATAACATGTGCATGTGTCCAACTTAATGATAAATATGCTGACCCATAAGGTGGTTCTTGTGTCAGTTCTCTCAATCAGCAATTACGTCACTTAAACAATTCACAAAAATGCTTTTAAATTCACTAAATAAAACTTCTTACAATGCTTTTCATTTTTGTCATAGAGATGCAGAGATCATAAAAAGGAATTATTTTACGCGAGGATTATCATAATCCTCGATAACTTTTTTTAAGGAATGTGAATTAACCAACAACCTAATATTATGTTATATTAGGTATTATATATTCTTTTGTTACAAAATGGATCAACATGTACAATACAAATTATCTCTGAAGGAAAGTAGGAATGCATGCATTTGAAAAAATTAAATTTTTGTACAAAGACCTCATTTTATAACACTACTTAGTGGTATAAAACATTAATTATTTTTGCAATGTAAAGCATCTTATAAACAGGTAAATGCTCTGTAAATAACGTTGACAATTTGTATAAGATATATTTACTGATTTACTCCTAAACCTATTTTTATAAGGAGCAAAAAAAATCCTATTGTATTTAAAATCATAAATTGAAATTTGCTGATAGGAATGAATTTAATTCTTAACTACATTTATGCCTAAGTAAATGATGTGTCATCCTAAGAATTATCTTTTCCTTATGCATTGAAGGAAGTATTTAATAGTTATGAACCTTTGAATATAAACTCAAATGACTTCTAAATCAAAAAAAGATAGTACTTATTTCATTTCATCATTATCGAAATGATAGAAAGTGATCAGAAATAAATTTGGTTTTTAGACAATACTGAGCATATCAACACGGCTTAAGAATCGACCCCATTAACATTTAAAAACTGGCTATCAGTTGTAACTACCATTAAAATCTCTTGTAGCAGAATTGTGTGGCTGTAATAGATAAATGAACATATTTAGAAGACTTCAAGAAAAAGTGTTTCCAAAAAATACTCTATTCAAATAGTGCCATATAAATGTACACTGTGATTTTAATCGTAATATAGTCGTTACATAAATCGTCACTCTGCAATACAATGTTTACCTTCAACTGAATTTCCATCTGTAATTGCAAAAAATAATAATAATAATAATAAAAATAAAAATATACATGTACTATTTATCGAAATAGAAATAATCAGGATATCAACATCGTAAAGTAAACAATATCCATGACACCAAAATGAAAATCAATATAGTAGCTGTACAAGGAATCTAACCACAAACGGTGGGGGATTCATCCGACCCGTCCAAACAGTTTGTATCTTTGTCACAGGTCCATTCTGAAGGAATACAGGTCCCATTACCACAACGAAATTCATTTAATCTGCATACTGTCCCTTGTCGGGCGTTAAAGCTAAAAACTGACCGATAAAATAAACAAAAATTCAATTTTTGATTTGTATAACACAAGATATGACACAATCAAATAAAAATAGGTAAGATTGCATAAATTGAACATTTTTAAATTTCATTTTATTATAAATTTGAAGAAACTGGTGACATAGGAATTTTTAAAAAAGTTTTTCACTTTTCATTCTTTTTTTTTGAACATTTTGTTTTCAATATATTTCATATTCATAAAATTTTCTCACTTGGAGGTTGTCCTAAAACATGGTAAAGTTCACATAAAATCACGAATAGTCTGAGGCAACTGTGTATAAGTTTCTGAAAATATGAAAAAAACGAAATACGATGATATAAAACTCTTAACGTAACACTGGATCAACAGACAACATATTCTCCTTCTATATAATGTACGTCTAGTAGAACATGATCCGTTAATGTTTATGTTTAACTAAAATTCGCACGCATTGGGTAGATTTTTGTTTTTACATGCAAACAAAAAAAAAATAAACTTCGATTTAAAAATGAAGATAACGAACAGTGATCGATCTCAAAAATTCTACAAACAATACAAATCTGTGAAAAGGGCATGAATCACGGACTCCCAGGAATTACAGAGGTGGGATCAGGTGCCAAGGATGAGTAAGCATCCCCTTTCGAGCGGTCACACCCGCCGTGAGCCCTGTGTAATGATCAGGTAGAGGAATATTCTGTAGTCGAATTTAATATAAAAACAAAGGCCTAACAGTTTTACTCAATATGTCAGACAAAATACGACCCAGTGATAGGTTACACCTGTATATTTGCTTACATGGTCATTATAACCACCATATAATTTACAAAATGCTGACTTTAAACAAGATCGTTGAAATTCCTGTTGCATCATCTTATGTGTCAGTAGCCTGCCTCGTTTTAAAAATTGATCGTACTCAAACATGCCCTTGGGTAACGAATAACTTTGAAATCATAAACACCATAAGCAAGTGGTCGAGGAATATTACTACACAAATAAGGAAAGTTGATGATGAAAAGTCATCTCGTTTGTCATACAATTTAGTGGTTAGTTGGCCCTTATTGTCTCGAGTCAATAAATGTATGTGGAAGACTGTGGTGTCTTTTAATTTCGAATATTCCGTTTACCTGATTAATACATAGGGCTCACTATGGGTGTGTCTGATCGACAGGGGATGCTTACTTCTCCTAGGCACCTGATCCCACCTCCAGAATTTTTGGGTCCGTGTTTTATGCCCTATTCAGATTTGTATTGTATGTAGGTTTTCTCGCGATTGATCATTGTTCTTTATCTTCAGCTGCGTCGTTTTCCAAGATGTCTTTATAATGTCCACCAAAGTTATTTTTTAAAAAAAATGCAGAGATATATAAGATGAACTTTTGAGAATTTTAAACATCGTAGAAAATTTACAATTTCTTAACATTTCAGGAATTTGATATTACACCATGTACAACCAAAATAAATCCAAAATTATATATCTGTTAATATTTTCTTGTTTGTATCATGTGTCCTTAACATTAACTTTTTTTCTGATTTTGAATTAAAACAAATATCATATGAAATTCATCCTACATACAATCGCGTGCCATAAATGAGTTCGCAAAATGGCTGCTTTAGTGATTTTGTAAGCAATAAATATAAAATAAAAATGATTTTACAAATTAACCACGACATACCCGTATAAGATTTCCGGCATAACAACTCGTACGACTTAATCATTTTTTAAATTGCAAATAAAATTGAATTATTCTTCTTTGATAAACAATTATCGTCTGCTTAGCGACATGGCACCCCATGGCAAAGAGTTGACGACAGAGCAAAAAGAAATAATTCTACAGATGTTTAACAAGAGTTATTCAAGCTACAAAATACAGGATGTAATAGGAATAACAAGGGTTATTCAAGCTACAAAATACAGGATGTAATAGGAATACATGCAAGAACCATTCAAAAATTTCTGAAACGTGTGCGTGATCGAGGAAATGTTGAAAATATACCACGAAGTGGAAGGAGAAGAAAAACGACAGTGCCTGATGCGGAGTGTGAAAATAAATAGAAGGCAGACCCTTAAAGACGGTACAAGCAGATTTAATGCAAGAACTGGGTGTGGTGTGTCCTTTAGGACTGTAAAAAGACGACTGAATGACGAAGGGTACAAACGTTATGTTGTTTCAAAGAAAACTACAGCCTCTCGGACAAATCGTGCAGGCAAAAACTACACTGCACAGTGGCTAATCAGTGGGCATCTATCATATTTAGCGATGAAACGAAAATCATGGTATGAAATAACAATGAAGTACATGTATGGAGAAAAGTAGACGAAAGATTAAGACCGGAGTGCCTTTGTTTGCATGGTGATAGGGATACGACATGTCGAGCATCCGTCATGTTCCGGGGCTGTATTTCGTTTCATGGGGTTTGGTACTTTGAACGCTGTAGATGGTAACATGAACAGTGAGAAGTATATTGAAGTTTTGGAAGGGTGTCTTTGACCCGTGGTCGCTAAAATCATTTTACAAATCGCCGTTGGGTTTTTCAAGAGGATAATGCTCCGTGTCATGTGACCGCCAGATCAAATGAATGGAAACAGAATAACAATATAGTAACACATCCCTGGTCCCCACAAAGCCCAGACATTAACATTATTGAAAATGTATTGAAAGTATTGAAATTACATGTGCAAAGGGGAGCGAAGGAGATAAGAAAAGCAAAGCTGATGATCTGAAACTACTTTAGTAGTTGTTCAAGACACTTGGAGTAATCTCCCATTGGTTTACATTCATTGCCTATATCAAAGTCTTTCAAAAAGTATTACGTTCTCGGGGACATATTACGAAGTATTAATCAAATAAGGTAGGCGATTTTATCTTTTATTGAAAAACAATACAAACCAATTTTTTGAATAACAAAATTTAATGACGTTACGTCGTCCATTTTGCGAACTCATTTATAGCACACGATTGTATACTAAACTTTGGAAATTTTAACTCACAAAAACTTCTAGTGTCAGCATGCAAATTATCAATACCTGTACTTGTTATATATTTGTTTATGAGTGTAGGAACATCATTTTGTAATCTGTACTTAATTGTTTGTATTATTTTTTTTTCAGACATTAGCTTTTCCTCATCAAATTTACATTTCTTTTTCTTTTTATAGATTGTAAAACATACAAAAGGTATCAATCAATCAAAATTATTGCTTGAAAATTATCTGATTTTAAAAACAGAACTATAATTTTTTTCTTTTTAACAATCCCGCAATATGAATTCAAATGATGCGTGCCTTCGATCAAAATCTAATTGGCTTACTCCAAAATTGTTATTCAAAATGCAGTGCAGTAATCTTTAGTTAAATTTTGGGGCATTATTTTCGTACATTTATTATATCTTAGAGATATAATTTTTCCCCAATCAAAATTAGCAGTTTTAAGTTTTAAAAATGTTGTCCTACTATGATTCTTATAACAGTCGATGGAATTTTATATTTATGAGTGCACAGTAATAAAAAATGCTTTTCAAAATGTATTGACTTTTGTAAATTGCTTTCAGACGAATATAGTCATTACATGTTAATTTTTACATTTACATTTTTACATTAATTTATGAAAAATCAAATAGATTTGCATGCTCCTTTATTTGTATAAGCAAATGTCAATTTTAGACGTTATTTTTTTTTTATCAAAACATTTTAAAAATTCATTGTCATCAAAATTGAGATCGAAATGTTATTTCTTATCCAAATTTCAAAACAAACACGAATAGTTTTTGCTTTAAAATAAGAGTTGTATCACGTATACTCTGAAGTGCAATATTGTTTCCTTTTTAACATAGATTAAAAGTATGAGAGATCAATCTCATTAATCCAGTAAGCAAATCGAATCGTGAACAAGGCAATTACACGGACTCCTGGAAACACCAGAGGTGGAATCAGGTGCCTATGAGCAGTAGACATCCCCTGTCGATCGTCACACCCGCCGTGAGCCCTTTTTATTGATTAAGTAGACGGAGTACTCCGTAGTAGTGTTTTAAGTATAAATCAATGACCTAACAAATGGTATGAAACAGGTTAGACAAAATACGAACCACGTTTACGTTGTATTTACAAACAAGTTCATTATAACGACCAGAGACTTTGGGAAAAGCTGATTTACAACAAGGTTGTTCAACTCCTTGTATCATCAACTTATTTGTCAGTAGCTTGCCTTGGTTTAAAAATTGATTTTACCCAGGGCATGCTATTGCGTATAAATAAGCTGGGAGACCTAAAAACTATATGATGATGATTTAGGAATATTACTACATAAATAAGGGAAGTTGACGATGAAAATGCTGAAGTCATTCCGTTTGTCCCCCAGCTTATTCGATATTCAAGAGCATTTGATGCTCACTCTCCCTATTATTAGTTTTTTTCTAAATCGATCACTGTTCTTATATTCACCTTTTTCATACAGTTTAGTTATTAGTTTGCCATTATTGTCTCTAGGTAGTAAAAGATCCAAATTTGAAACAGATTTGACAGATTATGTGGTCTCTCTTAATTTTTACTTCGAGTTTACTGGGATATATTGAGTCAACATATAAATAAAAGTGATTTTTTAATCGATAAAATGCCGGCGATATATTTAATTGCTGAAGTGGAGGCCACTATTTTTTTTCTTTCTCATGTAGAAGTTTTTTTTTTTTAAATCTGTTTCATATAAATATAAAACAGGCCAGTAATAAAGGAGCACAATTTGTGTCGATCGGCTTTCCAACAGTCTGTTGGTAGACCTGGCCTCCAAAGACTGCATAGATATTATCAATAACAACTCGGCATCTTTTTGATATCAACTTTAGAGTAATCAGGTTGATTTTTTAACAAAGCTATTTTGTATAATACCTCTATACACTGACATGATCCTCGCATTGAAAGATATGAAAATTTATGAGATCCATTTTAATTGAGGAAAAGTTGTCTATGATATAAAAAAAATTGCTTTTCAATTGAGGAATGCTTGTGTAAAGCGAGGAAAATTCAAATGTTGAGAAAACCTTTCAAGAAAAAATATAACTTTAACTTTTTAAACATGAACCTTGACTCGGTACTTATACTTTCTATGTGAGGATTAGGTCATTGTATACTAACTTGTCACACTAGTATTGTTATAGTATGCTATAATTTACTGTTCATATACTAGTAGCAGACATTAGATTTTAGAGAATCCCTGACTAAGCTGTAAGATTTTAAAATTTTCCATACTTTATTTTAATTCAATGATAATTATTTCGGTAAGTGTGCAGCATTTGTTTATCAACTTTAAACATATGGTAATCATAAGTGATAAATTGCATATCAATGAAATACACTACACTGCCAGGTCACTTGGTTTGCGATTTTATTCAAAACACTGAATTTCCTTGAAGTTGTCTTGACAATAAAAGAATAAAGAACATCTCACTACGGATTAGTCTTTCTACCTGATAAATAGAGCTCACGCCGGGTATGACCGGGGATACTTACACCTCCTAGGCACCTGATCCCACCTCTGGAATTTCCAGGGGTCCTTGTTTTTTGCCTTGTTCACAGATTTGTATTATTTGAAGGGTTGTTTAATCGATCACTATTTCACTTCAATTTTTTTTTTTGAAGATATAATGAAATAACCAGAATTCCTAAGCGGAGATGGCATTTAATTGGAGAAATCTAAGAAACAACAAAGTAATGTCAGCAGTGACACCTGTTAATTGTATTTTCTGATCACCTGTCACACATGTACACACCTCGTTCATCTTACTTTGGGTCGACAGGTAAGTAACCGCTCTCATCATGTGTCTTCTCAGATCTAATGTTTTCTTGTTGTTTTTGTACTACTATTAATCCAATTATCAAATATTTGCATTGTTCTGCTTATTTATGCTTTTTGTGTTGGAACTCTCTCGAAGAATTCTTGTTGTGATGTGTTGACATTTTTCATTGTTATGATAACTAAATTTAATATCTGAAAATGCTTTGATGGAGATAACATAAATTAACAGAAAAACGTCATTTCTTTCTTTCTTTTTTTTTTTTTTTTTTTTTTTTTTTTTGAATGTCAGGAAAGAAAACGCCCTTGAAGGAATTAAATTTGACATTTTTTAAAGAATATTCTGGGAAAGTGGAGGATTTGTTAGATTAAAACAGGTTGATTCCTTTCTATTTTCATTTTTCTTTTTTAAATTTACATAAAAAATAATCTGAGTTTTTTTTTTTTTTTTTTAGAAAAAGTTCAGATTGTCCCAATCCCACCTCCCCCCTTTTCAGTTAAATTTCTTCTAAAAGATTGGCATCAAAATCTCATTACTTTAGAATGTAATGTATCCAAAGATTATGCTGACATGCGTTCAGAGTTTCACAACAGTCGAAAGTACATCCTATCATTTCAAAATGTACACGTAAACCATTAAATGTACATGGACATACCAAAAATGTTGGCTGCTTAAATGAAATATTACAAATTTATACTCCATTGTTTACGGAAAATTTATATTTTTGTTTTAGATTTTCAAATTCTGGACAGCCTTTAAGTATTTTACCATTACTACTATCGATTTTTATTTACCAAATTCTATTTTTAGTAAAGGACAGTTTGCAGACAGATAACTATATAAACGAAGAAACTTAAATTTTTTTTTTATCATGGATAGGAAAAATAGGGAATATGTAACTTTAAATTGACCTTAACAAAACTGCATTCAAAAAATGTATACAAAGGTTAAATTCGTTGTTTTCATTGCTATTATATCTTCAAAACGTACCCCTGCTTTCGAAATATTAAGTAGCCAGTACATTAAAGTCTTATTAATGGTGATTGGTATTACTTGCTCTTGTTTATATATCAATTACAAATAACCTTTCATAATGTTAATGAAACAAACTCTTTGTAATATCTAATATCAAGAGTTTTCTGATAAATCAGAAGTAAAAAATATATATTTATTGTTCATAACTGAATGTAAAGGGGAGCCATCAATTGCGTAATACTTGTTTTCTGCTTTTCGAGCTATGTACTTGATTTGAATGAATTTCAGATATCTTAATAGTAAGAAACATTATCAAAGTGCGCAATCTGTTTGGAAAGCAAGAAAATTTCTTTGGATAGCGTACAATTGGACTTTTTCTTTGAAATGTTAATTAGTTACTTGTTTACAAACACAAACATTTTTTCACAGTGATTAATAGCAGTTTCTTAAAAACAATATGCTGATTACTCTAATGAAACAAAAGTATAATAGCAGGAGTGCATATAATAATATTAAAGAATAAAAGTCCGAGCAGTAAGTAGTATGATATGCACGAAGTAGTTGTAATTTTGAACATCTTTATTACTAATTAACATTCTATGTTCCTCAAACAATAAGAAGGCAGCATGATGAATAATCAGAATTTTCTTTGAAGGTCCCGTTTACATTTGCACTAAATCTTTGACGTAAGTTTATTTTAACCTAAGTTAAAACAGAAAGTGCAGCCATCTTTAAAAAGTAAGAGGTTTTGTACAACAAAGTAATCCAAGATGAAAATAAAATATTTAATTGTTAACATTTCATTTTTTTTGCATTTGTTTCGATTTTCTGGAAAACTTTTGCAAGTGTAGTTCAAACCTGTAGTATGTTACATGAGCCTCTTTTAGTGAACGATTAAACTCAGATTATGTATTCAATCTATTTCAAACATATATACATGTATAATCACTGAATGGGGGATTGTTTTGATATACTACAGCATGATTGTGCGAGTAACAAATATGTTTAAAATGAATATTTTTCATATGAAATACTCACCATTTTAAATCCAGCTTATAAAATCTCCTATCGCTTTTTAAGAAAAATCCAATTATATTTACGACACACTTATCCTTAAAATAAGAAATTGCTGTTATTTTCTTGAGCACATCCCAACGTTTTAATTAGAAGCAAACTGATTTCTTATTGCCGGAAAACCATTATGGTGGCATAAAGAGAGTCCTTTAGCAGTATAGATGGCCCACACTATTCCGATAAGTCTAGCCCGAGGCCCAAACAACCAGTGTCACGGAGTAAGTGACAAATAAGTAAAACAATTACTACAATCAATAAAATTGTGCAAGGCCCACCAAAAAATGCATGTTATGAGAGGGTGGTGAAGTCTCAATTCCAATATATCTCATCAGGGAAAATCACATGTCAAAACTTGAAGTCTGTTCAAATATCAAAGAGAAATTATTAAGGAAAAAGAGTCAAAGTTGTCCGTGTTTTACATAAGAATTTTTTTCGTGTGACAGTAAATGTTGCACAATATTCCCCTAATGCCGTCCCTAGAATAAGTATAAATAACAAATTCGTGGCATTCTATACTCTGTAAATAATTCATCAAGTTTTGACAGAATTATCTTAAGTGAAAAGTAGTTATTGATTTATAATTGTGATATATTGCTCAAGCAATGTGTATATCATCATTTCAAGGTGAAAAGGTAACATGGTGAATATTATGTAATGGTGGAATAATTAACACATAGAAAAACGTCTAAAAGTTCTAGAGAAATCTAAATATCATGCTTTATGCAGATTTAATTACAATTAAGAGCTAAATGTTAAACATTCATCAATGTTGCACATTATTATGTTACGCTAAGTTCTAAATATATAACAAAAAGTGAAGATTTTTTTATCATTGGTATAGAGAAATTGTTGCCTAGCCTGTTCCTAAGGTCATTGTAAGACAAATCAGTTCATTATTTATTATGCTTCATTGCATTGTCGGTCGAGCTAGAGAACGCCCATGACGTGATTTCCACATTCTTTATTTTAAACGTCTGAATCTGCGCTTCAGTATTAGTTCTTGTTTTGATTCCTTTTCGAGCTAAACGAAGAAATTTGTTCTCACTTTCCATATAATTTCTAAGAATTTTCATTGGATTTGAGCTTATTAAATTGTTTTCCTGTTATATAACAGATAGCTGAAGCATGATGATTTCTATCATGGAGTGAATGGAATTTAAAAAAAAAGAATATACATGTATAGTCATACATTGCCATGCATTAAACAATTGATCATTTAAACTATATATATATATATATATATATATATATATATATATATATATATATATATATATATATATATATATATATATATATATATATCCTAGTTAAAATAGAAATTAAGGCAATTATAGTTTCTTGTCTCAGAGCCTGAGGAGTATTGTGCTATATTAAATTCCTAAAGAATCTGTCAATGAAAAATGTTTTACTTTCAAAAATCAAAACTAACACTGTATACTTGGGTTATAAATACAACTGTATTTACCAATAATTCTATACTTGCGGGCATCTTGACCAGTTTACATTGAAGCAGCTGCGTATTTTAGCCATCTCTTCTTCAAAGCGTGATGAAAATAAATTTGGTTATCAATCATTATTTACTTAAGGCGTCACATAAAATCAATTTCATGGGAACATGTGACAAATAGAGATCAATTAACGCAACCTCAGAATTATAATTTTAAATTATTTATGAAAGCTCGATAAAGCGTAGAATACGTTTACTCCTTTCACAGATTCAATTTGTCTACTTAATGATATTTTGATTCTTTAAGACAGTCATCTTTTGCTAGAAAGTCTCCAGATATCTAGAGTGTTATAGTTTAACTTTACCCGAGTTGAACTGACTGAAAATTGTTAACTATGTTAGAAAAAAAAAATGGGGAAAAAAATAAATAATGATGTGTTAGTTAAACCTTTATGAAATTGAAAAAAACTACCAGTTTCAAATATTTAAAGGGAAAAAAGAAACATATTTTACTTATAATTTCTGCATAATCTCCCTTTAACCGCGTTTTAAAAATAATGTAGATTAAAGTGGATTAATGTTGTCAAATTCAACATATCATCCTCATTTTACTTATACCTCAGGTGGGCATTTTAGTCCAAGGGCTTTTTGATTTATAATTTTTAATCTTTTTATTAAAAAAAATACAAGTATATACCTAACAAAATTTAAAAGCTTTTAAATCGCTCATTTTTCTTCGTGTAGGATATACATATTTAAAGGGCGATGCCAGATTTTCTCCAGGCCTAGGGGTGATTTTTCGAGGTTGGATAATGTCCGGGGTCATTTTTGGATGTGAAAAAAATGATCCCCTTCATTATTCTAAGGTGATTGTTATATGTCTTTACCGGTCCGGTCTTGCATTCCGAAACAGGTATTGCCATGGGTGTGTGTTTTTTGACCTTTTCAAAATTTGAATTATTTGTAGGTTTTTTTTTTTTTTTAGATCGATCACTGTTCGTAATCTTTACCTATTTCATACTAGTATTTTCAGTTATAATTTGTAGCCAATAACCTGTATTTCCTATAGATGTCCCTTATGTCCCTTACATTTCCTAAGATACGTCTCAATTCGTGCTTTAGAATATTTCATAAGACAGATACGTCTTAGGATGTAAACGAAAGCATTTAAGGAATATCTTAATATGTTCTAAAGTTTCATTCCAAGCATTTTTTTCCTTTTCATCTTTTTGTAAAATAAATATTTATGTAGTTCATATTTGCAGTTACATCGCATTTATTTGAAATTATTAAAGTTATTCACACATTTCATCTATATTAAGTTATTTAATCACTTTCAATAATATATTGTAATTTGTAGTTGTTTCAGTCCGTCTTAATCCCAATCACATGTATTTCGTAATTAAAAAAACAAAACAAAACTTCATATTCACAAATATTTATCAATTAAATATGGAGATAATGAACAGTATTCAAGCTCAATAGTCCATTCAAACAATGCAAATTGGGAGAAAGGCAAACACGGACCTCTAAATCAGAGATGGGATCAGGTGCCATGGATGAGTGAGCATCCCCACACCTGCCGTGTGCTCCTTGTCATAATCGGAAAAAAACGTAAAAATCCGTAGCCAATTCAATGTGTGGATAATGACATAACAATTAGTATGAAAAACGTCAGTCACCATTTGACTTAATGATGGATTGTTTTTGCTGACACTGTATCAATCGTAGAACTTGCGAAATGTTGACTTTAAACGAGACTGTTGATATTCTTGTTTCATCAACTTGTTTGTCAATACCTTGCCTCGTTTTACAAATTGTTCGTACGTACAACATGCGTTTCGAATCAAATAAGAGACATAAACCCCATATGCAGGTGATAAGGGTATATTGCTGCATAAGTAAGGCAAGTTGAAGATTGAAAAGTTGAAGTCATCACTTTTGTCGTAAAGCTTGGTTGTTAGGTTACTATTAACGTCTTTTTCCATTAAAGTATCCAAATATGAAACAGATGTGCCAGACTCTGTGGTATCTTTTATTTCACGCTCACTGGGATATATTGAGTCGACATATGAATGGAAATAACTATTGTTAATTGATAATACGTCGTCGATATATCTAAATGTCGAGTTGAGTGCCACAGCAAGATATTTCTTTTTCTCATGTATACGATTTTAAAGAGAAATTGCTTCATATGAATACAAAAATAGGACTGCAAATAACGGGGCGCAATTGGCACACATTGAAATTGTTGGAAGATCCTGTCTCCAAAATCCAAAAAACTACAAAGAAATTGTTAATCAGAAACTCAATCATCTTTTTCATTTCAACTTGATAGTACATGTGTGTACGATCAGAAAGTTTTTTTAACAAAATAATGTTGCAAATGACCAAGGACAAGGTAAGTAAATTTACGAATTCCTTTTCTATATTTAAAAAAGCTGGCAATTATGTCAAAAAGCCATGACTTTAATTTATCCTAGGGAATGATTGTATAAAGGGTTGAAAAGTCGTACGTTCTGATGTTATTGATTTAGGTTAAATTTTGTGATTTCATTCTTTTTAAACGTTCCTTGGAATTTTTAAGTATCCACATCTGAGTTACACCTCTTACTGAATTTATTGTTTTACAGTACTCCATAAGTTCCTCTTTCACTGCTGTTAATATTTTAGTGAGGAGTAAAGAAAGAGGCTTGGTAGATCATTTATTGGAAGTCGTTATGTATCTTTGTAAGGATTTTGTTGAAGTTTAGGAATCCAGTATAGGTATGGTTATTCAAATTCATTTTGATTGTTGGGAATATTAAGAATATTAAAATTGACATATGATTTTGAAGAATTTCATTCTTCAAAAGGGAGCTGTGGGTATAAGCTGGATTACCAGTTGAAGAATTAAATCCCAGTTTATCTAAAATACAATTAAATAATATATATATATAAGTAATTTTCAGAACATCATATCTAGTCGTCGTTTAATTTTTCCTCAGATGAACAAAAGTTCTCTCTCTCTCTCTCACACACACATACCCACCCACCCCCCCACACACACACACACACATACACCCTCACCCTCACACACACACACACACACACACACACATAAATTTTCTCTTTCTTAGGGAAATGATAAATGTCTTCTTTTTCTTTTGTAGATATTTCCTGCGTCTTCATTATCATTAGCAACGGCTATTGTAGAAACATGTAACAGGATGTGCAATTTATTAAATGCAAAGCTTGTAATTAAATTTTTAATGAAATTAAAATAAACCATCTTAAAATATTATTTATCCCAAACTGTTGTACATGAAAGGAAGCGTCCGGGGGGGGGGGGCATCCAAGAAAGCGGGGGTGAAGACACTCGATTCATAGCTTTTGATATTACAACTATAGCAAGAGACTATATCCACCTGAATCCTGCTCCCCAAAATGAATAATCAATAATTGGTATTTTGTAAAATACATTTTCAAACGGTATTAATAATCCTTTTTCAGAAAGTTTTTATCCTGATGCATGTTCCGAACAACAATTAATAAATCTCCCAATAAAGAAATCAAAGGAAAATGAAGAACGATTTTAACAGAGATTTTACTATAAGACATCAATTAAAACTGAGTTAGCTAAGTAAGCTTTTAAGGATTTTTGAACAACCACAATTTATCTGGCAGTTACGTAACTTGTCGTTTAAAATTTAACGGCTAGTTACGACACTAACTTAAAGTAATTTAACTATCGTTTGTGCAACCCGATCACGGCAAATGAATTCAAAATTAATATAGAAACAAAAAAACCAGCAATCCAGTCAAAATCCAGTCAAAATTCTGTTTTGTTTTTAAAACAATGTCCCTGTGACGACCAAAGAATTTTTAACGAGATTGTTGAAAACTCTATAATATAAGCTTGTTTGTCAGTAGCCTGTAGTGGATTAAAAACTGATCGTACACAGGACACTGCGTACCGAATTTGCTGAAAGATCATACGCAGGTGATAACGGAATATTGCTACATAACAAGATAGATATGTATTTATATTCTAAGTATGTGAAGAAGCAAAAAAAAAAAAAAAGCCGAAGAATCGGGCAAGAGTGACACTATTCAACTCCTTAGAGGAATCAGACAAAAACAAAATAAAAACCCTGTAGAAACACGAGGTTCCTTAAATTATTATTACTTGATACATTTACATACATTGACATTTATTTTAGCATCGCGTTAACGCAAAGTTAACGGCAAGTTTAATTTAACAAACGTTCGTACAACAGAATCTTGATCAATACAGAGAGCTCATGGTGCATGTGGTCCGTCAACATGAGATGCTTATTCTTTAGGGACCTGATCCTACCTCTGGTGCTTCTAGGGGTCCGTGTTTTGTCATGTTCTTGATTTGTGCTGTTTACAGGATATATGAGACTAATTACTATTCCTTATCTTCACCATTTTTTTCATTAAAATGTGATATTGTCTTTCACTTTGTGATTATTTGAATAGCTAAAAATACTTGGCAAATGAGAATTTTTTTCCCTTCATATCCAAATTTATGCTGATTTTGAAAATTATATTACTTTAAACCTCGGAACTTAGGGTAAAAAAAGAAATGCAACTCAGCAATCTCAAAGCTTCAGACATATATGAAAGTCAAATGGAGACTCGAGAACATCACTTTATACATAAAGGTTTAAGGTATGAATGAAATTAAAACAGGTTTCGCTCTACTCAAAAGCCTTGTCATTCAGCTAATATCACTTATTCTCGGAACAGTAGCACGTGTAAACATTCATGGTCTTTCCTCAATAATTAATCTATGAAATCTTTCCATATACTAATATGATTTTAATGCATGTACAATGTATCTCAATGTATAAGTCGTATGTAAAGGGTAAAGATAACAAACAGTGATCGATCTCCATAATCCATAAGCAATACAAATATGTGAAGAAGGCATAACACATGGACCCATGGAAATTCCAGAGGTGGGATCAGGCGCCTAGGAGTAAGCATCCTCTGTTGACCGGTCACAACCGCCGTGAGCCCGATGTATTGATCAGGTAGACGGAACTATCTGTAGTCAATTCAGTACAAAAAGAAAGTCCTAACATTTGGTATGAAACAAGTCTGCCAAAATACGACACAATGATAGGTTATATTTGTTAACAAGGTCAATATAACGACCATAAAATTTACGAAAAGCTGATTTTAATCGAGGCTGTTGAAATCTCTGTAACATTAACTTTTCAGTGAGTAGCCTACTTCGTTTTAAAAATTGATCGTACTCAGAGCAAACTCTTGAGTAGCAAATAAGTTGGGAGACATAAACACAGCAGGTGATAGTGGAATATCATTACATAAATAAGGAATGTTGGTAATGGAAAAACTGAAGTCATCACGTTTGTCATACAATTTAGTTGTTAATTGGTCTATAGTTAGTAAAACATCTAAAAATGAAACAAATGTGGCAGACTCTGTGGTGTCTTTTATTTCAAGTTAAATGGGATATATCAAGTCGACATACGACTGAAAATAACTAAACATCGTCGACATATTTGAATGTCGAATTGAAGGCCACAGCTAGTGTTTTCCTATTCTTATGTAGAAGTTTTTTAATAAATTCTGCTTTATAGGAATATAAAAACAGGTCAGCTAATAATAAAGGATGACTTTTCAACACTTTTTACAACCATTCACGACGATAAATTCAAGGCTTTTTGACATCACTGACAGCTGCTTTTTCAATAAAATGGAACTTTTGATAGTAATAGAAGTGTCTATGGGTCCCCCCTCCTCCAAGACAAGGAGCACAAGGCGGGTGTGTCCGGTCGGCAGGGGAAAACACTCCTTCATGGCACCTGGTCGCACCTCTAATGTTTAGAGGTTCGTGTGCTCTGCTCCTGATTTTGTTTTCTTTGAATGGACTTTTGAGCTTGAATACTGTTCATTATATCCATATTAATGTAAGTCTTGTAACCGATTTTCGAATCATTTTCTTTGTTTAATATATTTCAAAATTAATTTCTATGTGTTTTATATTTTAAATGGTTTACATGCACAAAACATACAATGCATTTAGTTCTCTTTTTAGCGGATGTGGAAAACAGACGGTTCAACGCCAAACTAAAAAAAATCATTCGGAAATTATTGCGCTTCACTAAGTGACAATCTAGGATTTAGACTTCCAAAAATAACATAAAATAACCGAATCTGTGGAAGTACAGCATAAATTATTAATTTACTATCCTTCCTGATGTACTGGTAACACTTTTTAACAGAGGACTTCAATAAAACATATTATTTAAATGTCTATGTCCGTCTCTATATTGCTACAGTACACTGCATAAGTTAACTGTTCCAGTTTTGTGTTGGTTCGTTTTTATTTTTTAAATCTAAGATTTCGCTGTTAGTCTGATGTTTGTCTACATTATGACATCCGTACATTGCTTCCTAAGCATAAAAAAATATGATTTTTTAATTACCGTAAATAATCCTTACCCTCTATACAGAGTGACTCTTATGTGTAGGTTTACACCTGTTTCACAGGAAAAGAAAATAAACATTAAATTTAAAATACAAACATCCGTGACAATCATAGATTTTCTCCACGATAAAAACAGCGAATCACTATAACAACATACAAAATATTTTGTTTGTGACTTCATTTCATGGAAGTTTTACACAGTATCGACGTGTATCATGTAGTTAAAGAGAGCTATTATTAAATCATTCATGATTTCTTTAACTCATTAACACTCATTAACAGCTTTCTATTTCAGTTAATATTCAGAGAAGATAATCAAAGACTTAAAATCTTTTTTTTATAAAGAAAGTAAAAACTCATTGTGAATCCGTCGTGAATTCTGATCGAAAGACAATTGTGAAGTGTGTAATTCTCTTCAGACGTTATGTTTCATTTTCCAGACACTAACTCTGATGAGGTTGAAAGGCTGGTCCGTATATATGTCTGTTCAAGTATTTCGTTCTTACAACGATACTAGAAATAAACAATTGAAGTACCTTTCAGTCTGGTTTCAAACATGCTTGGCGGTTGGACAACGATGCTAACTGATTGTAAGGACAACAAATTATATGTCAAAATAAGAAAATGTGTCACTTTCTGCAGATAATTTAAATATAATTTAAATCATTTGTTTATGTTTTTTTCAGAATAATGGTTAACGACAGAAATGGTTATACCCACCCCCCCCCCCCAAAAAAAAAAAAAAAAATTTAAAAAAAACAATTATATTTTTCTAGGTCAAGGGCAGTGATAGGTATTTGATAATGTGAAACCCATATCAATTAACTAAAGGAGCGGTACGATGACCTGTTAACATTGCCTTTGATCTAGGAGTATCTGATTCGTCGTACATCTATATAGAGTTTACTAAAAATGTAAATCGCACAGAAAACTATCATAAACACAATCACCAGATAGATAAAAGTTTATTGTGGGATTTCTTTTGAAAATTTCCATTCAAACTGCATTTTTTTTCCCCTAAAATCTCTTCAGAAATAACAATTTATTTGAAATATAAACAAGAAATGCCTGTACAATTAGAAATTTAATGAGTTACAAATAAACATTAATTGTATACGTCAATGTTGTTTACTTTATATTTCGATAAGAATAGTCTCAAAGAAATCTAGAGAAGGGAAAAATTTTATTTAAGATCCACCATATAAAACCTTAATAACAATTTCATTTTATACAAAGACCTAAAATTTAACTGCACATTCAAATTCAAATTCTGTCCTCGCCATGTTACCATGGCTTACCATACATCGTCAAGATTTGTTACTTTGGTTGATGACGAGCTTGGGCGCGTAGACAAGTTGGACTCCTTCTTCATGATTGTCCTTTTCTTACTGTTTACAGTCTGTATGTCACCCACACGGTTGTTTTTCCCGCTGACATTGTCCTTGTCGTCCTCCTCCTCAAAATAAATTTTATGACAAACAACAACGATGCGATAGAACAAAAGAGCAATCATTAGTGAGTTTTTGCAAACAAAAAACAAGATACCAAACGTAATTAACTGGTATCGAGCTAAAGCATACACCCTTACTGCCAAAAATGGCCCGTCCATAATCAAGATGGAAATCATCAGACTCCAGATCTCGAGTTCAAAGAGTTTACCACACGAACACACCCCGCATCCCTGTCTTCTTTTGAACATCTCGTTTCCATCCTCTTCAACGACAGCCTGTGATCGTCTGCTGTCTCGTGTAGCTGTCAGGACTAACGTAAACTGAAGCAGACTTAACGTCCAAACGGAAAATATAATGTACGTCAGGACTGTGTCGGAGCGAATTTCCGGCTCTTCGAACACGACAAAGAGTTCCATGACATCAGAGGCAGAGCCAATATACACAAAAAGAAGCTGTGAGAGTTGATCACGTGTTAGAGTTCCCCTGGGAAGCATCCATCTTCCGATTATCAAGATGAACAGCATAGACTGTTCTAAGACCTCTCTCCACGTGTCTGGGTCCAGCTTTATGGGGATGCTGACCTGAAAATGTTTTTTGGTCTTTAGTGATTTGATATATTTAAAAGTACTGCAACATTGTAAAAAAAAAATATGTAAACTTTTATTTTTAATGGTTCTGACATGACTATCATTCTTACCCCTTGAATCTGAGACAACTCCTGGACATTGTCGGTGATGTTGTCATTGCTGATCAGATCGTCGTACTTATTAACACGATCTATCTCCAACAGCCATAAGGCAGGAACGACACTGAACAGGTAAAATAGGAAACAAGGACAGAACCTGAAACAAGGCCAAATTTAAAATAATGTTTGTTAGCCCTCTCCGACTCAGGATCAAACAACTGGGTCGGTAGGTATATGAAATTTTTTTTTCTCATAAAATTTCAATGTCAATGCTGAACTTTCCAGGATGCATTAAAAAAATAATTGCGTCCTGGAGGTTAAAAAAGTTTTGAGTGGGACCATTTTCAGCCAGTCGGTCGGGAGACGGCAGCGAAACATTTTTTTAAAGATGACCCGATGTAATTTATTGTATTCAAATGCAATTTATTGTATTCAAATTATATAACACTCTTAGCAATCCCTCTTGCAATATTTTGTAATATTCTGTTGATATATAATTCTATTAGGAATAAAATAAAATAATAAAGTTCTTTATACAGAATTTTTTACTAAAAGCATCCATGTGCCAATCTTAAACTACGATTATGCCTTATTAGAATCTAGTGACCAATCGTCATTTTAGTAATTAATAAGTACTATCCCCCCTTCCTATCTTTTTAAATAGAAAGGATTATTTTCGTTTTACCTAAATTTTTTTTTTTTATTTTTTGACATTATAGATTGTACGTTCTCATTGTGTCTTAAGATTACAGAATTACCGCGACTGATTTCACAGCCTGTGATTATGTAATGTGTGTTTTTCCTGTTTTGGTTTTGAGTAACCGCATGAACGGGTCTCCAGCTTGTGAACTGCACGGACCCTTTGTTCCCCCCTTCTACCTACAACAAATCTATATAGGTGTAATTTTAAAGGTATGTCACACTAGATTTCCATCGATTCAGATGACTGATTGATCATAATGCAACATCCAGTTTATTACTTAAGTTCTTCCTCTACACCTACGTTTTCATCAGCGCACATAAAAACATTGCTTGATTTTTACAGTAGCGCATATTTAGATATCTATATTTCCTGCAGTTTAATTAGAAAAGGATATTTATACTAAATTATATATCAGTCTGATTAATGCGATAGAATTCACTTGATATTTTTGCCATCTTATTTGAATTTACCAGCTGGTAGTAATTACATGAAGTTCAATGGCCTGTTTCCCTTGTTTAGATAGTGCTATGTCCTTCCTTTGAAGTATTTATTCTTAAAATATTTTAAAAACATTTCATGAAAAAAAATTCAATAATTTCTGGGAACACTATATATAAATTCAATCGCCTATTTCCCTTGTTTGGATAATGCTTGTCCTTCCTCTTTGATACGAATTAAAATCAATTTCAAAAACACACATAAGAAAATCCCTTTATTTGTCTAAATGGGTCAAATAGATACTTAAAAGTGCTAATCTTTAAAATTATATCTATATACGAGGGATGATCAAAAAAGTTTGCAAACTAACTGAATTACTTCCATAAAAGAAATAAAATTAGGTTTCAGTGTTCATTATTTTTTAAAGTAATTCTCTCTAAATATTAATGCACATCTGAAACCGTCCTGCACATGCGCGAATCACGTGATGCAGGCTATCACGTGACATGCTCCGTAGCGTTCTGTTCACAGGAGCTAAAAGATTTTTCCGAGTCTTATATTTCTTACCATGCAAGTTATTTTTTTTTATAACAAGAACAGTCCATTTGTCACAAATGGCTAAATCTCGGCAATAGGATGGGTGGATAAGGATATCCTTTCCCAGAATGAAAATGGTGACCATCACAACCCGAGTCATCTGTCTTAAGAGCGTCGTTTATCCAGTGTGAATAAAGTATGGACGCCTTCTTATTATCATATCTGATATGTTTAAAGTCTAAAGTAAACGATATTTTAGGGATTTCATAATTATATTATTGTTAAGATATTCAACTATTTTTCTAACTCTAACTTGGCGGTCTTTCATAACAAATTACCCAACTAAGGACACATCTCTACCACAGCTTGCTTTCATTGGGCAACAGAAGAAACATCATTTTTAACCATCTCCCTTCCTTCACTTGAACAATAAATCCAATTAATGATTGAACTCCTGGCAAGTCTTTTGTCTTTATCAACTTTGTACAAGTTATTATATGCCACTGCAAAGGAATTTCCAGGGTACACATTAAACTTTAAAGCCGTGCGTTGCTCGAGTACGACTGAGTCAACCATATTTTTTGTCGCAAGTCATCTGCATATTGACGTCATTTTCACAATGTGACGTTACAAACACGGAGCAAAGCATTACATATGATATGCTATTTATAGAACATGTGTATGACTATATGTATGCAAATTTTATTCTACTCTTCACTGTGGTTTTGTAAATATAGAGATAGTTTGCGAACTTACTTTTTGATCTCCCTTTGTATACCCTTTAAAGAGCTAAGTCCAAGAACCATCAAAAATGGCCTCTTCTCAAAAATTAATGTGATGTTTATTATACATAGTGTACATTTTTAACTTTTCATAACCGTTTTCCTTTTTTCAATGTCTATTATACTTTTTGAAAAATAGTGCATGCAATATATGTCAGTGTTTTGATAGAAAAATGCATTTAGGAACGTCGTTTTTTGTTATGTAACGTCATGTCATAGGGCGATAGAAATGACTAAGTTTGCGATTACAATGTACCAAAAGACGAATATAGGATTTGAAATTGAATAACTGATAATAAATATTTATTTAATCAACAATCAACATCATTTAATATACAATTATAGTTTAATAAAGCAGATAAAGGCGTTCATTTGGTATACCAGTCAATTCTCACTGGATATAATTGGAAAAAAAAAGTTTTCTATGGAAAATGACTTCAACTGCGGTATTTTTAAATCCATGAAATAGTAAATATTTCAGCCTTTTAAACTGTATTTAAATAAATTATCAGAGAAGAAATAGTTAAAAGGACTTATTTCCTAAACATTTGTATCAATCAATTGAACGTCTCATCGTTTACTTTTATGTAAATGAGTTTCGTAAAATTAATACGGAACTCATTCAAAACTTGTTATTCCTGAATGCCAAATTTTGGAAAAAGTTGAATTATATTTAAAAGAAAATTACCTAAAAACAAAAATGTTAAATCTGCCTAAAAATTGAAAATCTTTGCTACTGACTTTTACGACATTGAATTTTACGAAAGTTCCTCACATAAACAGAGTATTATATGAACTGAAATATAAATACATGTATAGGTATTACTTTTTTGTTGTTCGAAATACATGTATATATTTACTGCAAGAAATGATTAAAGGTAGAAATTTATGATGATAATTTTGAATGTTTATGAACAAAGAGAGTACATGTAACATCAAGAAAAAATTCTTACATCATTTTAAACTGTTAAACAACTTTCATACGCATGCGAGATTTGCACGCAATCCAAACTCGCAGATACCAGACATTCGCTAGGCCATGTTTTATTCCCGTAAAATAATACGTGTATGCAGGACAATTATACGTGTTGTAAAGTGAAGATAAATAATTGTTGTTTCTGTTTTTCTTCTCAAAACTTATCATTATCTATTGACCTTTAAATGTAATAAATTTAGTATGTTTTTATTGATGTATTGCTAAAAATTCAGTTCTTTCAATTTCATTTTCACATTATGATTTTCATGTGAATAAATAGAGCAGTACATGTATTGCGTTTGAAATGCTTGTAAATACACGTCAAGATAGTAAGGGAGATACATATTTACAGGCATTAACATTTTGCTAATACTCAGCGTAAGACTTAACACGAACAAGGACTTGCTAATAATGCCTTACGACAGACAGCATAAGAGGAAAGGGTAAAATGCTCTAAATAGAATAAAATTTTTCTTGAAATAGAGAATATTTCTGTAGTAAGCAGTGGCAGAAATAATTTAAAAGATGGGGGGCTCATACAAATTTTATATCTGTGTGGCAAAAATAGTTTAACATGCGTTCAAGAAAATATTTCCAAGGCTGTTTTTCTTTATACATATTCTATAGGACTTTGACCTTTTAGCACATGGCGCTATTGACAAACACATCCTTTCTCCCCGTTTCCAGTGGATTTCATAGTCATGAATTCTAGTTTTAGATTATTCCTATGCTTCAAACTGATGTTGATATAACTGTATGTAATGCTTTTATAATTCATGTCAAAGCAAAGCCCATCCCCCTTCTCATCATGAAGAAGGAAACAACTAATCTCAGTAGCGGATGCAGCGGAATTCAGATCTTAAATGTAAAGGAAGACATAGACCCCCCCCCCCTTTTTCCACCTCCACCCCAAAGGATACAGTAGTTCACTGGAGTTGGTAAGACGAGTCGTGTATAAATATGAAAAGGAAACTGCTTGTCAATGAGAAGTGTCCAACCAAAATTCCCCGACTAGGTTTTTCGTGTTCGAACTGGTTTATTTTCCTTGTCAAAAAAGGGAGGGGAGGGTTAGAACTTTTTTAGCGTTGGTATTCACGGATCCATTATTGACACATTTTTTTTTAATTTCTTAAGTGGTTCAATCTTGAAAGCCAGAAACTGGCATTGGAATGAAATTCTCTTCAAGGAAAAATGACCCCCCCCCCTTTCGTATTCCGGGCCTATAATTACATATACATCTATATTGTGTTAATTTTTCATCAGTGTACAATCATTTGTAGACACTTGATTAGATTGTAAATATTTATCAACTGAAATTCCGTTTTTATGATTCGAAAAAGTGTTATAATAATTATTGATTTAAAAGAGAATTGCAAGAATGGAGACCGAAATATTTTCTCTATTTCTCAATTTTTACCCAAAAAAAAACCCTTAATTAACTCAATGCATTTTTTATAGGATTATCGATTAATTTTTAAAAAAAATCATAATATTTTATTAAAATATTTCATCTTTACTGTCGCTTCATTTAAATAATATTAAACTTTTTATCAGTTATATATATATATATATATATATATATATATATATATATATATATATATATATATATATATATATATATATATATATATATATATATATATATATATATATATATATATATGTTGATTTATTTTGTGATCCTTAGTCTAATTAAATGCTCACAATTAAAAGAAAAACGATACAACATATATTTGGATAAATTATATGTGCGATTTATAAGCATCTTCGATTTTATATTCATTTCAACTGTCTGCGGAACGTCACTTTATTCGAAAAAGATTATACGTTAGGAATACTTACCATTTTCGTTCCTGTCCTTTGAGCCTGATGACTGTGTATAGACCATCAATGATCAGAAGGATGTTAGTGATAGCTAGACACCAGTAGTAATTATTGTTCAGAACGTCTGTCGTCCTCCAGATTGTCACAATGCTGTGTGTAACCAGTAATACCCGGACTAAAATAGCCTTTATCACAAATTTTACAGAAAGTTTCCTCTTCGAAATATCAGAATCAGTTTCAAATTCTATAATTTCTACATCTCCCTTCTCTTTTGTTGTCATTTTTTACTTTAATTTCTTCGCGAATTACAAAAAAAGAACACTTCCTTAATGTCACAATTTTAAAATCATATTAATATCTTGTACTTTCTATAGGTTCAAACAAAGTTCGGATTGTCACTTTTCTCCATGTTTCATGGCATGAACAAGGTGGTCCCCCAATGAACAGGCCTTTGTACAAATTGATTTTATTGGCGATGCAAATGTCATTAAATAATCCAACACGTGACCTCTCTGTATTTCCGAGATCCTGTCTGTACTTGGTTGTTGCAGATTTTTAAATACAGGGGAAAAAAACAAAATTGCTTTTGTGTTTGTTCAACCCCGTGATTGATAAATTTTAATGCGTTCTTTAGTTAAAAGAAGTTTTTACCTTTGAATTTCAAACGAATAAACATTTTATCTTAGAATGATATGGATGATTAAGTGAAATTCACATATAAATATTCTGAAGTTAAACTTTATTAGAATTTCCTCTTCACGGTGTGAATTTCTTGCTTTTAAATCTCAAATTAGTTCAAATTTCAAGAAAAAAAAAACGTAGTTACCACGTTCAGAAAAATTGAAATTAAAAAAGAAAAGTCAATTCAATTAACTCGACACCGAATTTTATGTCTTTGTCAATTGTTCAAATCGTCTATCGAAATACACCGTGTGTTTTTATCCCAAGTGTATATAGAATTAAACCATGCCAGCGAAAGCAAAAACTCCTTGATATCAGTGCATATAGACTTAAGCGGTGTTTTGTTAATATGTTTGTTCTTTTCTCCTATTGTAGGCTAAGTTTATGCATTTGCTCTCCTTACAGTGTCGATTGAACCTTAAACGGTATGAATAATAATATACCTGCCTATGCACTCAAAACTAATTTGATTCAATATTGTGGAAGATTATAAAGTCATATAGTACACAATTTTGAATATTTTTGACGATGTAATATTTTCATTACCAAGTTAAGTATGTTTGCTGTTAGCGAAAGCAGATTTTATCAATGAAAGTCTTAATTATATAGAAATGTATTTCATGATACCTTGCATTACACGGGAATGTGGAAGCACAAATTTTAGGAATATCTTTCGTCAAAAGACCTCGAAAGTGCACATTGCATGATTCTTATGAAATGGTGTGACTTATTGGACAAAACAATGCTGTCTTGTGTGAAACTTAAAAGACGGGTTTTTTTTATTGTTAACCGAATCTATTTCTTAAAGGATCGAGTTTCTATTATGATTCAGGATATTAAGGGGTAGTCAAACAGTATTTAATTTCTCATTTTACAGCGAGATGCTAGAATAAGATTCTTAACTTTGAAAAATTAAGAATCAACAAAATTTTGAATTTAAAGCTCAAAGTGCACGCACTTATGGACCATATTACATTAACTTACAATCTAAGATTTTTTTTATATACACAGTCAAACCTGTAGTAAGCGACCTACCATTCTGAAATGGTCACATATGACAGGTAGTCTCTTAAATCAGGGAATCATATTCTACATATTCTAAATATTTATATGCAATAAATATTTGTTTGAAAAAAATGTGTTTATTCCCAATTGCGTTAAGTGTAAATTATTTTTTTCTAAATCAAAAACAAGATTGTTTTTATCGAGTTTCACACATTAACAACCGTGTCAAGGATAGAACCCAAACAAGGGTCAAAAAGTAAGCATGCCATTATTTTTGTTGTGAAACAAAAATTAGATTACTCGATCAGTATGTTCTGTTCCCAGCTGACGAAGCAGGTAACAAAATTGTCTTTCTTTGTAAGGCTCATTATTTGAATTGTATTTTAGAGGGACAAGGATTTAATTCTGCAAGTGGTAATCCAAGTTATACCATAGCTCTCTTTTTAAGGAGGAAATTCTTCAAATACATATGTAAGTTTTAATTATTTTTAATTTTCCCACGATCAAAATGAATTTGAACTACCATACCTATACTGGATTCCAAACCTCCATAAAATTCCTTACAAACAAAGATACATAGGGGGTAAATGTTGTACCAAACCTCTTTCTTTACTCCTCACTAAACATTTACAGCAGTGAAGGATAAAGTTCAGGAGTACTGTACAACAGTATATTTGAGAAGTGGTGTAAATCAGATGTGAATACTCAAAAACTCCAAGAAACTTTTAGAAAAATTGAAATCACAAAATTTTAACAAAATAAATAACATCAAAACGTACGACTTTTCAACACTTTATACAACCATTCCCCACGATAAATTAAAGTCCAGGCTTTTTAACATCATTGACAGCTGCTTTTGCAATTAAAATGGAACTCGTAAATATACTTACCTTGTCACTGGTCATTTGCAAATTATTTTCTTAAAAAGCTTTCTGATTATACAAAGAAGTACTCCGAAGTTGATATAAAAAAGATGCTTGAGTTTCTGATTGACAATATCTATGTAGTTTTTGAAGACCGGGTTTTTCAACAATTTGGTGGAATTTAGATGGGTATCAATTGCGCCCCTTGTTACCAGACCTATTTTTGTATTCATATGAAGCAGAATTTATTCAAAATTTCTACGAGACGAAAAAAAACACTTGCTGTAGCCTTCAACTCGACATTTAAATATATCAACAACGTATTATCAGAGAGAGAGAGAGAATTTCTGTTCATCTGAGGAAAAATTGAACGACGGCAAGAAATGATGTTCTGAAAATTACTTGTATATATATTATTTAATTGTATTTTAGATGAACTGGGATTTAATTCTATAACTGGTTATTCAGCTTATAACCTTTTGAAGAATGAAATTCTTCAAAATCATATTTCAATTTTAAATATTCTTAATATTCCCAACAATCAAAATGAATTTAAATATAAATAACCATACCTATACTGGATTCTTAAACTTCATCAAAATCCTTACAAAGATACATAGCGACTTCCAGCAAATGAACTATCAAGCCTCTTTCTTTACTCCTCACTAAAATATTAACAGAAGTGAAGGAGAACCTTCTGGAGTACTGTAAAACAATAAATTCAGTAAGAGGTGTAACTCAGATGTGGATACTTAAAAATTCCAAGGAACGTTTAAAAAGAGTGAAATTACAAAATTTTACCTAAATCAATAACATCAGAACGTACGACTTTTCAACCCTTTATACAATCATTCCCTAGGATACATTAAAGTCATGGCTTTTTGACATAATTGCCAGCTTTTTTAAATATAAAAATGGAATTCGTAAATTTACTTATCTTGTCATTGGTCATTTGCAACATTATTTTGTCAAAAAAAATTCTGATCGTTGAAGTTGAAATGAAAAAGATGATTGAGTTTCTGATTAACAATTTCTATGTAGTTTTTTTGGATTTTGGAGACAGGGTCTTCCAACACTTTGTCGGAATTTCAATGGGTGCCAATTGCGCCCCGTTATTTGCAGTCCTATTTTTGTATTCATATGAAGCAATTTCTCTTCAAAATCGTAAACATGAGAAAAAGAAATATCTTGCTGTGGCATTCAACTCGACATTTAGATATATCGACGATGTATTATCAATCAACAATAGTTTCTTCCATTCATATGTCGACTCGATATATCCCAGTGAGCATGATACAAAAGATACCACAGAGTTTGACACATCTGTTTCATATTTTGATATTTTACAAGAAAAAGACTTTAATGGTAACCTAACAATAGAGCTTTATGAAAAATGTGATGACTGCAATTTTTGAATCGTCAACTTCCCTTACTTATGTAGCAATATACCCTTATCACCTGCATATGGGGTTTATGTCTCCCAGATGATTCGATACGCAAGAGCATGCTCTACATGTGAACAATTTCTAAAACGAGGCAAGCTATTGACAAACAAGTTGATGAAACAAGGATTTCAACAGTCTCGTTTGAAGTCATCATTTCGCAAGTTTTATGGTTGATATAATGAACTTGTCAGCAAATACAACCTATCATAAAGTCAAATGTTGTCTAAGGTTTTTCATACTAATTGTTTGTCTATGCCCCCTCCCCTTTTTCAGCTCTTCCAAGATTTTTTTTAAAAAATATTTCGGATTTCAAACGTTCCGGAATGAGCATCACCGAAGAGACATAATTTGTCGTAATGCGCATCTTGTGCATCAAAATTCGTACCATACAAGATTTACATTATGACCCCTGGGTCGAGGCCTCTGCCGGTTGACTGTTCGTCCCCGAGGGTCTCTACAGCCCAGTAGCTAAGTACTTCGGTACTAACTTGAAAATATGGATATGTATTTAATTGCTGTGGTAAAATTAAGAAATTTATTTCAAAATAAGGATTATCTCCCTCAATCATAGCTCTGATCCTTCGACGTATTTGGCTACAGTCTTTGTCACCCCTCCCCTTTTTTCAGCTCTTCCAAGGTTTTTTATTAAAATTTTTCGGATTTCCAACGTTTTGGCATGAGAATCACTTAAGAGACATAAGAACTACGCACTCTTAATCTCAGTTCCCGCCTACATTTTACACCCATTCAATACTAATGGCAATTTGGCCGTAAAATCTTTGTTGAATGCAAAAAACAGTTCAATGGTAATTGACTGATAATTTTAATACCAGTGTTAGATAGTTAATTTCCCCTAATTCCAGCTCTTCAAATAGGGAGGCAGACTATTTTTTCTCATTGAAATCGGGCTCTAAAGCATCACCACATTTCAAATTATTCTTGGATATGAATAAATGTCCCTTAAATCTTTTATGTTTTACTCATATAAAATTAAACATAAATTATTCATAAAATACAATGTTTTAGTTTTAAACCCCTTTGAAATTGGTGAAAAATAATCATTTTTCTAGTTTTTTCCTCTAAGTATATGTCCCCCCCCCCCCGTGAAACACAAAAAGCTTCGGTACGAATTTGTAAAATGACAGTCCATATTACCTGTAAAAAGGAATTTTTGTTTCGGGGGGGGGGGGGGGAGATGTTTTTAAAATATTTTCCGTTGATTTCTATAGTAAAAACACTAGTTTTACCAAAATTATAGAGTTATCTTTCTTTGTTTTCCCAAAGAAGTAATGTTTTATGAAAATTCATATAAATATCTATACTGATGTGAAAAATCATTCAAATGTGTTCACTTTTGAAAATTGACTTGGAGGTAGGCGGGAGAACAATACTATCGTTCGCAGTTCTTTGTCGAATTGTGCATCTGGTGCATC